GTGCCCCTACCCGCCGGGAGGCGAGGTCGACCTGCTGATCGTATCAGACTCTTCACTTGCTCTGGTACCTGACCCAAACGCAGGGAAGGCTTCGTGTTTTTCCGGAGGCGATCTTCTCAAACCCTGGGGAGACATCCGTGGCATATATACCAAAATGTTGTGGGGCAAAGGATTGAACCATATGGTCCAGTATATCCCCGAGGCCATCGATGACATCGAGTCCACCAATCGTGCACATGGTCGCCCGGTTTTGCCGGTGTTGGTCATCGTTGGGTGGGCCGGCAATGATGTGTATGGCGAAGGGGGTTACAGAGGTGTCCATTGGATCCACAGGGCTGCCTACAACAAATCTGCTGCCGACCGGGAGGTCACGGCCAACTGGTGTGAGCGGCAAAAGGCAAGGGTTGAGCGGTCCGTCAATGAACTGGGCCAGCTCAAACGTGATGAGCCCCGGATCCTGGATATCGTGGTCGTTGGGAACGCTGACGCGGACATCTGAGCTCTCCCGTCGGCCTACAACGAGACCATGCGTGTCCACATCAAGGCACTGCGCGAGGATCATGGAATTCAAACCCTGGACACTACCTTGATGCTTGCCAGGACTGTGAGATATGACAAGGTGCATTTGGAAGACGATGCCATCAACCGGAAGTATGTCACCAACTTCCTCCAGGCCGTCGCCGATTGCCACCTTGCCTACCTCAAGCTCATCAGCGTCGACGATCACTTGAGAACGCTCCCAAGAATTGAGGATCTCCAGGAGCAGAAGAACTACCCGAACCTCACCATCCTCAAGGCCGCGTACCAGCTTGAAATCGATTCGAATGTATCCTCACCACAAGATCTTCCTCAACGACCCGATCCTGAGAAGATCATGTTGGATGCAGACATCGAGATTTTCAACTGGGTGCTTCAAGCTGAGGAGAATGCCACAGCCTCTGCCGACCGGGAGGTCGAGTCCTGGATGCGCGACATTCCTGAAGAGGACCAGGCATTGGAACCCATTCACCATGACAACGCTGATTCGGACGATGAGGCTGTCAAGGTTCAGGCCCTCACTATGGATGATCGAATTTTGGCAAGGCGACAAGGCCTCTCCGAGGAGCACGACCAAGAATGGCAAGATGCCACCTATGCGGCCGAGGATGAAGAGGAGGAGTTCAAAGGCTGGGACCTCATCGAGGATGACAAACGCCCGCCGGGAGTCGTGGCCAGTGACCCAATTCATGAAGAAGAGAAGGAGCTGGACCTCGACGACCTGGAGACGGTGGCTTCGGTTGAGATTGTCGATGAAGAGGAGTTCCATGACGCCGAGGAGGGGCAGGCCGAGCAGATCGATGATGATGACGATGATGACATGGCCGTGATCGACAAGGTCTCTTCTATGCAGGCCTCGAAGTCTGATGCACGGGGGGACCCGGAGCCCATGGAGGTTGATGATCAGGGCAACAAGATGGTCCAGAGTACGGCATCAGCGAAGACCTGGAAGACGGAGATGGCCCAGAGCTCATCGTCTGCGAAGACATGGAAGACCGACATGGGTCAGAGTACATCATCGGCGAAGACCTGGCGAACTGACACAACTGCAGCTGCGTCGGCGGGAGCCACGCCTCCTGACCCGACTGCCAAGCTCAAGCCCAAGAAGAAGGCCATGCCCAAGAGATTGAAGGTTGTCGACGAAGGACATGGCCCAAGTGCGGAGCAGTTTGACACGTCAAAGTTTGCCACGGCACAGGATCTGGTTTGGATTGAGCCGGACAATATGGCAGGAGTACCTGTGAGAAAGGTGGACTACGGAAGGCTTAGCTCCATTTCACATGCTATGTCCGACTACCTCCGTGGCCATCGACTTTTTCACAGGAGGCCTTCGCCAGAGATTCGGAGGACTGACTTGTCTATGGACTTCAAGGCATTGGTGAGGCATCTCCAAGGAGATTTTGCGCACCTTCGAGAAGAAGAAGTCCTGATGATCGTGCGCAACTCACCGATGCGCCGCTTCCGAGTCCAGGTGAATGGATTGTCGTCCGGAAAGCTCAGGTGGACCCCAGTGAGGATCAGGGCCATTCAGGGCCATCGTGCCTTTCTCGTGGAGCAAGGGGGGATGTCTTCCATGATCAAAACGATGTTCACGTTTGATGAGAACTTCGACGAGACCAAGGTTGACGACCCAACGGTTCACCCCTCCTTCTCCGCGATGCCGGAAGGCTCGCCTGTGTGGCACAAGTTCCCCAGGGTGGTGTATCACACCTGTGACCAAGCCGCCTTCAATTCCATCATCAAGTTCGGCCTCATCCCTGGCGGGTTCCCGTACAAAACGGGCAGAGCCCACAACTTTTTCAACTCCACTCCGCCCTGGAAAGCGGAAATGAAAAAGTTGCAAGGTACGCGGGCCGGGAGGCCAATCGCCATCGCGTTCGACATGGAGCTCATGATGCAAATGGGCTACAAACTTTTCGCGACTGACGAGGCCATCCTGTCGCCAGACTGGATCTCGAACCTCCCGATGATCAACGCCTACGATATGCGGTCGGGCGAGTTTTTCTATATCAACAGGGCTTATGTGAACCATCGGAAGACTTACCAGGAAGTCCTCAAACAGGCCAAGGCCGACTTTGATCCGACGGACGTTCTCATGAGCCGCATGGAGATGTTGATGGAAAACGCCCAGTTGAACTTCGAAGGCATCAAGGACCGCATCGAGTTCGGCAAGCTCCTCCCCTTCTCCAGACGTGAGGACATCGAGGTTGAAAAGAGTACTGCCACCCGGGAGGGTGAGCCGGCATCAGGATCTCAGCTGGTGCCCGGCTACACCACTGCAAAGATGGCCGCCATGACGAGCACTGATTCATGTGGATTCCAGCGTCGTGGACGGAATGGACCCGGTGGTGGGAATTGGAACAAAGGGCAAGGTCGATTCGGATTTGAGTTGCAGTTCAAGGACATTTCCTACAACCAGATCCAAGACTCACCTCAGGTGCGCTGCAGCCATCCAATCTGCGGATATCTGATGATGGATGGGCATTTGAAATGCCCACGCTGCTTCCGGCAAATGGAACCTGTGACAGATGCCAACATCGCCACAGAGGTTGCCCGCCGGGAGGCGATGGCCCGTACCAGAGGAGTGCCCTTTTCCATGGACAAAGTGATTTTCAATCACCCCGCCCCCGCAGAGGCAGAGTAGCCAGGCAGCCGGAGAAGGGATCTTCGTCTTCTTCGACAGCCGTCCGGACCAGAAGCACCTATGGCAACTTGAGAGATATGGCCCGCAACTACGTCAGATCTTTCAGGAAAAGGGGCTTCAAAGACCTTGTTGACAGACTCGTCCGCGACCCGTTCTTTCAGTTTAATGCGGCGAATCAAAACTTGGTGCCGGAGGCCTTGCTCTTCATTGAGCGTTTGGCTGGCTGCGTGAGCCCGACCATTGAGCGCACCAAAGCCCAGGTTCTTGGTGAAAAGCTTGAGATGGCCACCAAATTGATCTTTGTGCCATCGTCGGAGCGGGAGCCCGACCAACCCTTGGATCTTCACACCGAGGTGTTTGTGTCGCATCGGGGCGTCTTTCTCGACATTGGCCAGTTCGCGGTCTATGTGGCGAAGTTCATCAAGCCAAAGCAAAGACCCCTACCCATTGTTTATGGCTGGGGCAACCGTGACTTTGTGCCTGATGCTTCGGATGCCAAAGAGATCGCAAAAGAATTGGTGGAGTTCAGCAAGCTGCAATGGTCGAACTTTGCCTCCCAGCAGACGCACAAGGAGTCTGAAACCACCGGCGACGACCGGGAGGTCAGTCTTCCTCATGCAAGTGGATCCATCAGGCGACCTGAGCACGAACGACCCCATCACGAGCAATTCGAGCCAAACCTTGGCAAGCCTGCTCGCGGCGGTCCCTACGGTCAAGGCTACGGTGGAAAAGGTCATCACAAAGGTGGAGGACAGACCAAAGGGAAGGGACAGCAGAAGGGAAAGGGCAAGCAAGGCAGAAGCCCACCGGGAGGTGTGGCCTACAGTGACTTTGAAGGAGATTCCTACTGGGTTCAGGGCTACCGCTACACGTGGTACTGGAATCAACAGCGAGGCTGGTACTGGCGCTGGACCTGAACTATGGGATGACTCGCATTGGCGCTTAGGTCATATCTTTCCTTTTTCAAATTTGCTTGCCGGGAGGCATGCCTGTCTATGACAAACTTGGCAGGCATCGCACCCATTGAACACACCAAAGCTGTGACGCATATTATGCATCAAACCATTCATGTGAACTTCCATGCGCAAATGTCCGCACAGTTTGAACGAATTAAAAATTTTACTTCAATGACTTCTCAAGCCATAAGATTGGATGTTCAAGGCAAGAAATCAAATCGATTCGCACTTTTCATGGCTGTACAGTTTTTCCTGCCATGGCATCCTTTTGGAGTGACATTACAGGAATGGTATAGTTCCTTCATTCCATTTGAAGATGCCTGGCGGGAGCCACGGCCGTGCTGTGTGCAACTTCGAGCCCATCATCGGCGCAAAAGGAACATATGAGCCTTTGCATTCGCCAGACATTGCCTTGACATCCGCAAAACCCATGCCAATATGCATCCGACCTAATTGTGTAGTTTCTGAACACTTCTGTTCACTCAGGTCTCATTGCGGCGGCGTACTGCAGGCACTGTTATGCTGGAGCTGCCAAGCAGCTACAGCATATGGGGGGTATTTTTACGGGATAGTAATCTATACTGTCATTACTCCCCCCTGTAAAGTGTGCCCAGTAGTACTTGTATATACCATTGACTTTATGGCCCAAGAACAAAAAGTGTGCTGCGTTTGCTGGTTGATATAGGTTGCATAACCTGTAAGCATAAATAGTAATGAAAACATGTTAATGCATAATATATCAATATATTAATATAACGTATTGACATATTATGCATGTATATGTTGATGAGGAGTTTTGAATGACTATTGATGGATGTTTATGTGAGAGGAGGCTCTCGATGCGGGTTGGCACCTGTTTTCAGGCATTCTATCCAATGGCAGTGCTGCTTGTCCGATATGCAGCGACAGATGATTCGTGTTTCTTGACTGCAGCCTGTACAGAAGTAGCTGACCGGTCTCCATGGACAGTTTTTATTGGGAGTGCCACAGTGCCACCCAATGACCAGACGCTTTGGATATCTTTGGATCACCAGGCTGGCACCTTGACCCAGAACTCCAATCACTGCTGGGAGATGAACCTCCAGCAGTTGGTTGCAGATGGCCCTGGCCCTGATGGAATGGGAAGTCTCAGTGAGCGCTGGGATCTGGCTTCGGCTGCGATGCATAGGCAGGGTGATGTGAGATTATGCAATTTAAATGAAACTTTGCCGATTTCGCTGGCCTTTCAAAAGGGTCCAAGTTGTATGGTACAGTTTGAATCGTTTGAATGGTTTGGATGCAACGGTTTGTATGGTAATGCGAGGTTGGTGGTGGAAGGCGTTGAGCCGCGCTCTACACAGTTGGCCGCTTGGCTGCCACAAGGGTTGCCTTGCATCAGGGATTGCGCCGTGGCCGAGGTCCATGCTTTCACTAAAGCTGCTCACTGGCGAGCAGCGTTGAAGCTTGGAGACCCTGTGGCTGCAAGAGATAGGTTCTTTGAGGAGTGGAGAGAGCGGACAGAGTGGACGGAGTGGATGAGACTGGATGGGACACTTTTGCCATTAGATCCTGCAAGGGTAGGGCCAGCTGAGCTGAGGATGTCTATACACAGCATTTGACTCCCTTGACATATAGTGCCTGGATCGTTGAAAGACATTTGAGATGCGGTGGGCTGGGGTCGGGAAAGATCTCTTTCCATCACTTTTTGTGTTGTCTTCTAGGGAGGCTTCAATTTGGGGACAGGGTTGAACAGGACCAGAAACATCTCGAGTCATGTCTGTATTGCTATCTGTTCTCTGTCTACTGTTCAGACTTGCAAGCGCATGGGTTGAGCGGAGACTTTCACGCCTTGTGACTTCAACTGACAGAAGGCACACGAATGTTGTGTATGTAGGCAGGTCCACACACAGACCAAAGGCAAACGGTATCTTGAGATGTGCACTTCTGCCTGTGAACATCTGCGAAGGCGTGGTGCCCTGAGGTTCCATCATGGGTTCCATCTTGCGAGGCCATTGGAACTTGAACCTGGCATTCTTGGATCAAATCGAGATGCAACGGCTGGAAGTCAACAGCTTCAGCTATGGAAACGTGCTACGTTTCTTGGTTGCTGCCAAGGGTTGAGTTACCTCTACTTGGTCGAGTCTAGGCAAAGCCAGTTTAATGATCAGCATTTGTTCATCATCATGTCATCCACTTGCGCGGAGACATATTTGTGTCTGAACACAGGATACCCCCGATCCAAGCCAATTTCCACTGGTTTCTCACCATAATCGCATGAATTAAATAGCCATAACTGGGGGCTATTCATCACTTTCAGAGCCAAATGGATTGCAACCAGACAGCCACGAAGGAGTCCTTCGGCCAGTGCAATGGCTGGAGGTCACTACTTTACTTCATGGGATGCAGCAGCGACGCATTGAAGTGAACGAGGCTGCGGGAAGCGAGCCCTTGGAATCGTTGGACAGGGACCTCATCCAAGGCAGATCTGCCTTCACTGATTTTCAAGAATAGGACACCAAAATTAGGGATGATTTCTATTGGTTTAATATGGGTTTATTAGGGTTGCCCCATGAGTGCAAAAGCTTCAAAATCAGTGCCCGCTTCAGAAGCTGCCGTATGGGCCATTGCAGGTCTGTTGCTCCTCAGCGGTGTCCTGCTTCGTCCGTTGGGGCCTCTGGCCCCTTGCACTGGCCATGGCGGCCATGGCTTCGGGGCGGCATGGTCCAACAAGGACTGCTGTGCTGGCATCCTGCGCTGAGTCGACACAGTGGCAAATGGCCCTACGCTTCTTTAGACGAGGCCTGTGTGGGGAATGATGGGAGTTGGTACATCTCTGTAACTCTGGAAATGGATGTGGATCAAACTTTAGGAGCAAAGAGGGCCACAGAATGATGCCATAGAATCCTGTGATTTGGAAGGATACCAGTTTTGGGCGTGCCACAAATTGATCTTTTTACCCAAATTTCTTAGGACTGAAGCTGCCATCAATGTCTCAAATGCCTTTGAGCATAGTTCGTCGGCCCTGTCAATCAAATACCAATAACCAACTGGATTTAATTTTTTGTTTGGCGTGCCCGAGTCAACCCCCACCCAGGCGAATAACAGGGTCATATAGTTATATAATATTGTATATAATATAATTCATAAGTTGATGGACATATGACATTGAGATGTTTTGGGGGTTGAGATGTTTTTTTGGGGGTTGTTTTTGGTTGAACATGCATTTACACGCTATTTTGGTATTCACCAGGGTATCAGGGGTTTTGACCCACACTGCAATGCCCATAGTTTTTGACATAAATGCAGGAACCCACACATGCCTGACGCTGAACCTCCGGGATGGCGATGGGTATTTGATCGGTTAGCCTCGTGCATTTGCATCCGCAAAGGTTCTGCAGATGAAGTCGCCTATGCCGCAGTGATTACAAGCTGCTCTGAACATTGGAGGAGGAGTTTGTGGCTGGTGCACTGCATGAGCCGGGCCCGTGACACCATATCGCAGAATGCTTTCAATGCCGCTTGTCGATCAATTTCAAGTTATGGCAACGCTCAAAAGGATAGACACACACACAAATACATACATACATACATACATACATACATACATACATACATACATACATACATACATACATACATACATACATACATACATACATATACATACATACATACATACATACATACATACATACATACATACATACATACATACATACATACATACATACATACATACATACATACATACATACACACATACATACATACATACATCCATACATCCATACATCCATACATCCATACATCCATACATCCATACATCCATACATCCATACATCCATACACCCATACACCCATACACCCATACACCCATATAACCATACAACCATCCATACATCCATACATCCATACATCCATACATCCATACATCCATACATCCATCCATCAATCCATCAATACATCAATCCATCCATCCATCCATCCATACATACATACATACATACACATACACACACACATACACACACATACACACACATACACACACACACATACACACATACACATACATACACAGACACATACAGACACATACATACACATACATACACATACATACACATACATACACATACATACACATACATACACATACATACACATACATACGCATACACACAAATACATACACACAAATACATACACACAAATACATACACACAAATACATACACACAAATACATACACACAAATACATACACACAAATACATACACACAAATACATACACACAAATACATACACACAAATACATACACACAAATACATACATACTTACATACATACATTCATACACACATACACACATACACACATACACAGATACACAGATACACAGATACACAGATACACAGATACACAGACACACACACACACATATATATATTATATTATACAATAATGTATATATATATATATATGTATTGAACAATCTTTTACCTCCAGTTGAGTAGGATTCTACGTTTCTATCCTTGTTGGGGTCCCTGGGAGAAGCTGACCAGCAAGTCAAGTAAGGCAAACCCGTGCGGATGGCCCTGTTTATAGCTCATGTGAAGTCTAATCTTCAGCCAATGAGCCTATGCAGATGTAATTACTACATTGGTCAGGGCATTGATTGTCCAACATAATTAGTTGGAACATCGTTTTGATTGATCCTCATTCTTTCCATGAAACTGGCCACAATAAGGGGGGATATCCTGGTAGCCCCCAAGTCTTGGCAAACCCACATGGTAGCCGCTGAAACAGGCGGGGATTGGTGTGTGTGGGAGATCCAAGTGGACATGGGCAAGTTTTCTTCTGGAGCTCATGTGGCAACATCGTGTGCATCCAGAGCCTTGGAATGTCTTGGATCTTTGCCGCAGCATCCACCTGGAATCCACCTTGTCATGGCAAATTTCAATCATGAATCCCCAAGCCTGAAAGTGTCTCACCCTGCCCACTTCCACCTGCAGCTGATGGTTTGTAGGATCCGCCAGCTATTGGCTCTGTAAAATCTTGGCTCAAGTTAATGGGCAACATTATTTTTTTTTTGCCAAGTAGGCCACGTTTGAAACTGCTTTGCCATCTTTGCCACTTCTTGCCATCAATCGCAGGCACATGCGTTCTGGGTTGTCGCATGCTCTGACTTCAGACCTCGCCTTCTGGATTGGCTCTTTGACACTTGAAACGCTGGCAGTCTTACGGCTCCTTCTTGCTGTGAGGTCTTTGGTGTTTCAAAGGACTCGGCAGCGCCAGCTCGAGCAGAGGCTTCGGGAATGGTGGACGTTTTTGTTTGACTATCGGATTGATCAACCGACGGCTTCTGAGCTGGACGCAATGCGCTGCCGCATGACCCGCCGCGTGTGGTGTATCGCCGCTGCGCTCTTGATGTTAAAACTGATCGTTGAGCAGATTCGCCTCCTGGCGACGGAAGAACGCAACGCTCCGGGATTTGATTGTGCCGCAGGATTTTTGAGTGCCATGGGCATGTTGCTGAGCTTCAAGCCTCAAATCCTGAACCCCAGATCGCTGGATGCTTGGTATGTGGCAACATCATTGATTTCCAACTTGACCCTGCTTCTTATCCCTCCTCCTATGTTTGACACCCAGAGGTTCTTCCTGATCCACTGGACTGTCATTCCCCTTTTTGCAGTTCTGACGAGACGCAGTTGGTGTTTCCTCTTCTGCATGGGTGTTGGCACGGCTCAGATGCTTTTGATGGAAGAGATCCAATTCCTATCGGGTTCCTATGCTGCTATATTCACTGTAGGCTTTGCGTTGCCGGTATCAGGAGTCCTTGCTATCCGATGGTTGCTTCATGACTACATTGTTTTGAAGATGGAGTTGCAAAGCAAAATGGTGGCGGAGATGGGGGCGGCCTCTTCCTTGCTTTTGGTGTGTCTCTTGGCTGTTTGAAAGGCTCACTTTCCACAACAGTTCTGGCTCAACGTGGCTGGATAGACTTAAAACATGCACAAAATCACGAGCCCATTGGGACTGCATCCATCTTCACCTTCTGTTTTGTAGCTGGGGTGGTAACTTTCAAGAAGTCCCTCCAGCCCATGCGCTGCCAAGAGAATATTAGAATTCCAACCAATGATCATTTCAGTGCTGGGGTACAATCCTCATATTTTTTTTTCCTTCTTCTTCTTCCCTCTTTTACTGGGCAAGTGGAATGGAATGCATGGAAATATTGGTTTTTCACGCAATCCAACCCAATGGCGCTTCTTTTTTGGAAAGGTAGCGTAGCCGAAACTACCTGAGTTCTCCATGCTTTAGCAGCATATATGTGGCTGGTCTGGGTCACGTGCCTTAAAAACTGCCGGTAAGAAGGGAATGTTCACTACGAGGGCCCCCTGTAACATGCGCCATGTGGAGGGGGCCGGAGGTCCCGCATTTGTGTTTGTCACAAGCTTCGGCGAGGTTCAAATGTCGCACGACCCCCCCTTGGGTATCATGTGCCATGAGGGGGATGGGCAGAGCTCCACTGGAGAGAGACATAAACTAGGTCGATAACTTCATACAAGATCAGCAATGGAGTGAACGGATGAAATAGCAACATTGGTTAACCTCCTTGTAGCCACCATGTAGGTCACCCGTTATATTCCAACAGCTTTTGATGCCGGCTCCTGAAACCGGAGCCTGAGGCTACGATGCTGTGGTGCAGGTGGATGAAACCTTGAAGCTCACCGAGGATTCCCAACAGCTGAGTACTTTTCTGCACAGCTCTGGTTCCAGTGAGACCTTGGGTTCGGGACCTGTGGCGGGAAAATCCCTGCTGCCCTTCTTTTGCCGAGAGGACCAAGATCGAATTTGCAAACAGCTCGCCAGGAACGTCCTTGATGGTGGTTCCGTTGTCGCCTTGAACGTGGACATTATGGACATTGGGGATCAAGATCATCCAAAACAAGTTGAATTGGTTTTTGCCCAGTTCCGGAACATCTGCAAAGCCTCTCGCTTTTTGGTGGGTATCCGCGAGTTGTCAGAACTCAGGTCCAGGTCCTCAACTTCGACCCGAAGTTGCTTGGAGCAGGAGCCGCAGGACTTGGTGGTGGTCTTTGAGGCCGATGTTCCGACGTTCCATTTTAAACAGCTGACACAGGGATAGGATCAGATGGGTCAGATAGGTACGTAGGTAGATTGAAACTGATACTGATACTGCGAGTAATATTGATATTAGTATATATTAGTGAAGTTCTATTGATGACATTGATATTGATATTGATGATATTGATAACATTGATATTGGTATCGAATCTCATAGACATGCGCATGCACACACACACAATTCACTTGTATATATATATATACATACATAACATGTGTATTGCACATAGTCGTATAGATATTGATACATGCATATTACATTAAGAGATATTGACATATCTGTGTACATCTAGAACCTATTTCTTCCTTCTGTCCTAACATATCAATAGTATCATCATTTAAGATCCAGTAAATTACTGGTATACACGGTATGTGTCATATGATGTGCAAAGTGCAGATTCATTCAGCCACAAGGTGCAATCTTTAGAGATCCTAGCGATGAGCGAAGAGATGGAACTTCTCTGTGAGCGTAAATTGCACAGCAAGGCCGAAAACATTTTGGACATTTCCGGTGTCGAAACCCGCGAGTCTCTTGAGGGCCAGCTGCAGCTGTCGATCAAGTCACTAGTAGCCAATGTGCAGAAGCCAAAACAGCGGAGTCAGCGAAGCAGCATCTCATTCAATTTGTTGGGCATTTGCAATGTATTATCCTCTCTAGTGCTGGAGTATGATGATTTCTTGCACTGTTTCGTGGCGTCCATGCATATCCACAGTCCACCGGGACGTCCTGGTGATGACGTGGATATAGTGGCCCGCATGGATGACAGTGGGGAGCTGACTGCGGCCAACATAGAGCGCTTGGAGCACCAGGAGTCGACTGCCATGGCCAGGGTGAAGATTGGTGGCATCAGCAGCTCTGTCCGGAGTTTGGAAAGCCCTTGGAAAACGCTCTCACAAAGTTCACAGGAAACACCAGATGCCAGGAACGTGCGCCTCAAAGGCCGCACCAAACTTTGATATGATTTGATGGCACATGATGGCCAATTGGGCTATCAAAGCCAGTTCAATGGTAAGAACAGTTGGAGTAAAATGGATTGCCTGGATTTTCCACTGCCGCAGCGCGAGCAGTTTCCATGCTGCGTTTGCGTGTGGACTGCTTTCCAGATGGTGCTCCAATCCAAAGGATGGAGTGGTGCCTCATTACTCTTATGAATAGACTTGAGAAAACGGGGATGTCTGCAGCAAGCGCTAGGTCGCTAGGCTGAGCGCGGAGGGCTTAAAGGTAGGACCTGGAAGAATTTCCCTTCACCCGGTTGCTCTGCTCAGGATGCGTTGAGTCTGCAAGTGACCGTGGATGCTGTCAGCATGCAAGAGCTATCTCCAAGATCATTGCCTTCCCTTCTGAGAGACTTGCAGGCCCGACCCGTAGCTCTCCTAGCCAAGCAATGCGAAGCAGAAAAGATGAACTGATTTTCAGATATTTTCAGCACCTGCCTTTGGTGGAAAGGCTTCATGCATTTCGTGTACCGGAAAATTGCTTGCCTGGACGCCATTGTGAAACATCAGATGGAAACGAGCATGGAAACGGTATGAAGACTCAATCATTCCTTGTGCCAACATGACCATCCATTCTGACCACGCACTGCCGTGGCTCAAGCTACGCATTTCGATGTCTAGCGGGAAAATAACAGCTGAGCGGTTGTGTTGCAACGTAAGTCTTTGGCTGCCAAGTTTTTCAGACTGGCAGCGGAGCTGCTAACGTTCCGGGGAACCTAACAATAGCAGAGCCCAAACGCTGCTGAAACCTTGCCGGTGCCGAGAAAGCCATGTCGGTGCTGGAGTGTCTTAAGTGGCACAATTTTGCTTCGAGTCAGCAGGAGATTCTGACTACGGACGGCAAATCTGGCGTCCCATGCTTTTCTGGAGAGGTCACGAAGCTGGCCGAGTACCAGTTCAGGGTCCGAGTCCGTCAGTCCATGGAGAAAACCTTGACTGAGGACGATCTCCGGAAGAGGGGGCCGTTGGGGGTCAGATTGATCGATGGTTTGAAGGGTCCAGCTTTACAAGTTGCTCGAGGGTTGCCAATTGACAAGCTTTCTGAAGAAGGGGGTCCATCTTTCCTTTTGAAGAGTTTGCAATCTGCTTTCCAACCACGGGTGAAACAAGAAGCAAGGGATCTTTACCAAGTAGGAGCACAGAATGGAGGCATGTTGTCTAGGCAGAGCGGTGAAAGCATGGTGTCTTACGTCTTGCGCAGACGTACCTGGCATGACATGATGACAGATTTGGATGCAGGTTTGACGCTGCCAGATGGAATTCTGGCAGAACAACTCCTGTCCAACTCAGGTTTGTCTTCGGATCACCAACTGCTTATCCGAACTGCTCTTCAAGGTGATTTGACATTCACAAAGGTGTCGGAAGAACTCATTGCCCAGCACAGTCGTCTACATGAGCGTGAGCACAAGGGCAAGGGCAACCACTTCCGACAATCTCTGTTCTCAAAAGGCGGCAAAAGTTTTGGCAAGAAGTCCGGATCTTGGAAGTCCTATCACGTGGAGGACGACGCTTCTGAAAGTTGGGAGAATGCATCACAAAGTCTTGGTGGATATGAAGACTATGATTTGGGCAGTGCATACTACACCGCTGAAGAGGCCAGCGTGAATGAGGCGTACGAAGTTTCTGAGTATGACATGGCCTCTGACTCCTTCCAAGCTTTTGAGTCCTATGCGGCGATGGTTGAAGTTGGATTGGATGAGCAAGATCAGGAGTCGCTGGATTTGGCGGCAGAAGTGATTCAGTCTGAGTCTGAGGCGTACTTCATGAGGCAGAAGGCAATGGGCAGTGGTCACAAGGGCTTCTCAGGACAAGGACCACGCAATTTCCAAGTTCATGGCAGTTTGAGTTTGGAAGAGAAGAAGGCGAAGTTGCAGGCGGTGAAAAGCCGTACTATGTGCAAGAGATGCTGGCAGTATGGTCATTGGCAAGATGATCCTGTTTGCCCAAAAGGAGGTGGAAAGAAAGGAACTGGCAAATCAAAGACCTTCTCATCGGCATCTACGACAGCGAGCACTCAGGGCAAGGGCAAGAACTTCAAAGGCCAGACAAAGCCCGGTGAGAAGAACCGCACGGTTTACTTCACCATCAATGAGTACGAGGGCCATGGTGCTGCCGATGGAACTTCTTATATGACTCAGAAGGAGAACTACCAGGCAGTGCCACCACCGAGCTCTTTGGATCCTCCTCAGCCTGCAGAGGAGACCGCTGATGCGACACTGGACCGCCTGATTGCAGAGGCGGCCTTCCGCCAACACATGAGTGCTCCGGTCTTCTTCGACCCGGCTGAGATTGCAGATCAACCACATGTTCAGGTGCCACCACAGCCTCAGCAACATGACTCTGCTGAGCGGCATCGACATTTAGATCTTTTCCTACAGACAGCCAGCCGTGACCATCCTGATTGGGAAGATGCCAACCGTGAGAGATGGAATGAGTTTGTGCCTGGTCATCCTCTTTTCAGTGCAGAAGATCAGCAGAACATCGCAAGGTGGCAAGAGAAGGCTCGTCTGGGTTTGCCAAGGGTTCCTGATCAAGCCCGGCAAGCACCACTTCAAGAACCAGCGTCAGCGAGCGCTGGGTGCCAGCACAAGAACATCACTACACATGGAACAAACTCCAAGTCCCGACAAGTCAAGTGCAAGGATTGTGGAGTGATCTTGGAGAAGACAGCGCGCGTGCCCACGGAGAAGATGCAGACAGAGCACAGAGGTTCTTGTGAACACAAGGACAAGGACTTCAGTGGAACAACATCCACAACCTGGCAGTGGACATGCCGATCTTGCGGCCACATTGAGAAAGGCAGCAAGCGACCCGGACAAACCGGGAGACAAGCCAGCAGTGCACAGTCTGCTGCATCGGGTCTGAACCTTCAGGCCACCCCATCAGGAAGAGGACGTGTTGATGGAGGACCACGACAGGTCATGGAACTCATGCAGACGGTTTTGGAACTTCAAGAAGATTTGCAGGTGGACATTGGAGGTGATCAACTTGACAGGATCTATCAACGCTGTCGTCAGTTTGTCTACTCGACAGCCACCAGAGCGGTTGAAGCGAATCCGGGTGCCCAGGGGTACCCGGTTAACGCGCCCGCTGCTGCCTCGACTGTGGGTACGGGGCACCCTGCCGAAGGTGAGACGCGGCAGGAGAGTCCCTCCACGGCAGCCACTGGTGATGGAACCCTGTTGAGGTCAGGCATACACCAAGGAAAGACGTATGCTTGGGTATATCAAAATGAGACAGCCTACACAAAGATGCTCATCTCCAAGAACCAGAACGACCGACTTCGAGATCCCCATTTGATCTCGTATGCGCTGTATGCTGAGGACCGGAAGCGACGTGGGGGAACCAACACTGCCTTCATGTCACAGCTTTTGGAGGAGACTGAGGAAGAAGATTACATGTTGGCCGTTTTGGACACGGGTTGCAACAATACCTGCCATGGAGACAAATGGATGGAGAAATATCAGCGTCTCATTGGCCGAGAATTGGAGGCAGAGCCAGCAGATGGACGCTTCAAGGGCGTTGGAGGAAAAGTTGAAGTTGCTTGCAAGAGGATCATTCCCATGCAGATGCTCACTGTGGACCAAGAGAAGATCCCTGGATCCATAGCGTCGGTGGAACTCCAATCTTCTGACACTCCACTGCTGCTGAGCATCCATGCTCAGAGAACCTTGGGTTTGATTCTGGATTTGCAGAACAACACAGCCTACAGCAAGTACCTTGACAAGGAACTCCAACTTCATGGACACAATGGCTTGCCAGCAATACGTCTCCACCCTGGTGAATTTCAGGTTGGATCAGTTGCGATGCATGTCCAAGAATCTGAAGGTTCTGAGGAGAAGACACGGCCAAAGGTGATTGATTTGGAAGCCATGGATGACCACATCTCCGAAGAAGGAGAAGAAGAGCCAGTTGAGGTCAGTGGAAAAGAGGTGGAGGCTGGATATGAGCGTCATTTGCCATTAGCAGAGGAGTCCATCAAAGTTTTGAGCAAAGGACAGAAGAAACAATTGCAAGAGTCGCTTGATGAGATGGATCATCAGGACAGCGCACTGTGGAGCACTTTGGCATCCAAGCCAAGACAGCCGAAAAAGATGCTGCCAAAAGGGTGTCGCACTTTCTTGATGGAACTTTTTGCTGGTACTGCCACACTCACACTGATGGCCGCGCAGATGGGCCTCCCAGTGTCTGAACCCATCGACGTTTTGTACGATGGGAAGTATGATTTGCTGAAGCGCGAGAATCGAGAGAGGATCAGTTGGCAGATAGAACAGGATGATCCGTATCTGCTTTCCATGACTCCAATTTGTGGACCATGGAGCTCTTGGCAGTACGTGAATATGGCAAGAGGAGGTGAGACTGCAGAGCACATCTTGGAGCAGAGGAAGCAGTGGTATCCTGTGATACGTTGGCTTTGTGACGTTGTGAAGAAAAGATTGGCAAAAGGGAGAGAAGTGGTCTGGGAAAACCCATGGGGTTCACTCATGTGGTATTTGAGATGCGTTGAGCAGTTGATGGAAGCCCAGATCACCAATGCCCTGACATTTGAGCCACTAGAAATCCTCAGAATGGATCAGTGCATGTATGGACTGGTTGATCCGAGGACAGGCATTCCCCACCGGAAGGCCACTGGCTTGATGTTGTCGTCACGACACATGAAGGAGGAACTGTCAGAGCTGTGTGATGGAAGCCATATCCATCAACCCTTGGAAGGAAACCTCACCAAGCAAGCAGAGCACTGGCCAGAGGAACTATGCCATCGAGTACTGAGAGGTGCCATGCGTGAACTTCAGTCTCAAGCTCTTTCAATGGCATTTCCTGTTGAACAAGTAGCTGAAGAACGAGAAGAGGTAGGCTGCCTGGACGCTATACATGATTCCAGAGACCTGGAAGAATCTCCAATGAAGAAGCAAAAGATAGACCATGATGAAATCCAACGTGAAGAGTTCTTTGAGGAGATGACAGATGAAGACAAGATGCTTCACCAGAAGGAGAGAGACCGGAAGGCGAAGTGGCTGAAGCTCAACAAAGAGAAGAGGATTGCACTGCGGCGTCTTCATGCCATGATGGGTCATTGCTCAGTAGCCACGATGACTCGGATGCTCAAGTCGTCATTGGCCAGCAAGGACCTGTTAGATGCAGTTCCACATTTCAGGTGTCAGTCATGTGAGGAGAGAAGAAGGGAAGAAGCACCACGTTCAGTGCGTCCAACGCGCTCTAAGGCGGAGCTGAAGTTCAACTATGAGTTAGCGGTGATGTGTTTGAGGTGAAGGATTCGAAAGATCAACGGCACTCGATCTTGAGCATGATCGACATGGCAACTCATTATCACATTGCCGCCAGAGTGGGTCAAGGTGGCACACCTTCCTCACGAGTGTGTGCAGAAGCTCTGAACCAATGTTGGTTCACTCCTTTTGGCGCTCCAAAGAGATTTGTATCAGATCAAGGAGTACACAACAAGGGAAGAGTTTATGCCATGCTCAAAAGACATGGCGTAGAAGTACGGTCAATTGGAGCTCAGGCACCATACCAGTTAGGAACTGCAGAGAGACATGGCGGCATCCTCAAGCAGGTGATGTACAAGGCTATCCACAGCAGACAGCTTGAGGGAGCAGTCGACATCTCAGCTCTTTGTGCAGAAGCCAGCCGCACAAAGAACACCCTGGTCAACAATGGGGGATACTCTCCCATACAATGGGTCCTTGGGTTTACACCCGACGACCTGACCAGCCTCATCAGTCATGATGTTGAAGGAGCTCTAGGAGTTCATCAAGAGTTGGTTGAAGAAGAAGAACAAGAGACCAGTCAAGAGGTCTTCATGAGACAGCTTCTCATCCGTCAATGCGCCAAAGAGGCATTCATACATGTAGATACCAGCATGAAGATTCGTAAAGCCATGTTGAGGAGGGCTACTCCTCTGAGAGGGCCATACAGGACAGGAGACTTGGTTTGCTTTTCTAGGCGAGGAAAGTGGTATGGACCTGCGCGCGTTTTGGCGCCAGAAGGCAAGTCTTCACTATGGTTGGTTCACTCAGGAGTCACAGTTTTGGTTTCTGAAACAGCTTGTAGGCCAGCATCAGGTGAGGAGGTCATGAAGAAGCATGCGCTTGAGATGAGACCGTCTCGGAAGCGCAGACGTGAACTTTTGAGTGACAGCATGCAGGAGGAAGATTATCTTCCCTTCACAGAGGATGGACAGCAGGCAAGATCCTTGAGAGCAAGAATTGAGGTACAAACACCGTTTGTGGATGTGAATCAGAATCCACCATTGGCACAACTGCCAAATGCAGCGCCAGGAATGGCTGCTATCCCTGGCAATGTATCTGAACCATACTCACCGACTGAAGCTATCGATACTCCCAGACTGGAACCTGACGCAGAGATGCCAATTGAAGCACCTGCAGTGGCAACGGACTCAGAGATGCCGGATGATGCACCTGGTCCAACGCCACCACCAGGCCTAGAGGAGATAGCAGATCAGCCGAGCACGAGTGTTATGAGCGGCCAGCCGGAGAGTGAAGTGACCCCGGTGATGTCACAACAGACATCAGAAGTGACTTCAGAGGAGGAGACCATTCAGCCAGATAGGCCAGAAGCGACAACGACACAACTTACCCAAGCTCTTAGGCAAGGAGCAGATCGCTTAGATGGTGTTCCTCGTGCGCATTTGACTGGCCAAGATGGCAGCATGAATTCAAATGAGATCAACTATGTCCAAGACAAGGTAGATCGATTTTTGGCGTTTGCAGCGACCAGGCAACATAGCAAGGTCAAGAAGTATCAGAAAAAGGCAAAGAAGGCAGGAGCAGGCAGAGAGTTGGTTTATGAGAAAGAGAGTGAAGAAATGAAACAGAAACTGACAGAAACAAGACGCAAGGAGTGGGCAAATTGGACAAAGTATTCTGATGGAGTTTGGATAGATGAAAAGCAATTGAAAGAATTACAGTCCAAGCAGCCAAGCCTAAAAGTCATCCCAACTCGATGGGTTGAAGTGGACAAGTCAGAAGTTGGACAGAAGGAACAGTTGAAATCTAGACTTGTTGTGCGAGGAGATTTGGAAGATAGCTCTAGGATGAGAACCGATAGTCCAACATGTTCTTTGACTGCTACATCTTTGGCACTGGCACTTGCCGCCTGCCGGGACACCGACCTGTGGGGCGGAGACATTTCAGCGGCATTTCTTCAAGGATCCAAACTGAATCGGATATTGGTTTTAGCTCAACCCAAGTCAGGCATTCCAGACGTTGAACCTGGAATGTATTTTCTTGTCAGCTCCACAGTGTATGGCACGAAGGATGCTCCACGAGGGTGGTTCAAGAACCTCTATCAGACCATGTTACAGTTTGGTTTTCGTCCTATGCCACATGAGGCTGCAGCTTTTGTTTTGAATGGTTCGGATGGCAGATTGGAAGGCATAGCAATAGTGCATGTAGATGATTTGCTTTGGACTGGAGGACCAGTCATAGAGAAGACCATGGAATCAGTTTGCCAGCACTATCGTTTTGGAAAGATTGAGAAGAACCATTTCAAGTATTGCGGCCGGGAGATCAGCAAGGATGAAAAGGGAATTCATGTCACATGTCCTCATCTTGTAGATCGTGTTCGTCCAGTTTATTTGACTGCAGATCAGCGAAAGGATAAGGATGGAAAGGTGACAGAAGAGGTTCGAGGTCAACTACGTAGCGTTATTGGTTCACTTGCATGGTTGGTTAGAGTTTGTCGTCCTGATTTAGCATATGCCATTAGCAAGATGCAAGCGGATGTGCACCAAGCTACATACAAGGACGTTGTCTTTGCCAACGGCATTCTCAATCTGGCTCGGAAGTCAAAACATGTTGGCATAACATACCCACTCAAAGCCTTCAAGTTTGAGGAAGCCATGATTGTAGGAGTCAGCGATGCGAGTTTCTCAAACGATTTTGACGTCAGTGAATCTGGAGAAAAGATGGGTTTTCGATCGCAAAGCGGAAGAATTATTTGTCTTGGTCATCAATCATTTCAACATGATCACAAGGGTCAGCTGATGCTCATGGAATGGCATAGCACAACTATCAAACGTGTTTGTCGCAGCACTTTGCAAGCAGAAACCATCAGCTTGTTACATTGCGCTGAGTTGACTGAACACCTCAGGATTGTCTTTCATGGATTATGGCACAAACATGACCAACGTGATCGCAAATGGTTGGTAACTGCACAAGACATGATTCCTGCTAACTGGTACACTGATTGCAAGAGTCTTGAACAACATGTCAATCAAGCTGGAACTCACGTGGTGACAGACAAGAGACTGGCAATTGATTTGTGTGGTTTGAGGCAGCAAGTGTGGCGCCAGGGAGGCGAAGAAGTAGGAGATCCACTTCTTACCGATTTTCTTCCAGAGAATCGCACCACGAAACTGACATGGATACCAACTGAGAAAATGCCTGCCGATTGTCTAACAAAGGCTATGAAGCCTGGAGCGCTATCTTTGATCATGAATGGCCAAGAGAATGATTTCACTTCAATAAAAGAACATGGGTGTGAAACATCAGATGGAAACTTTTCATGGAAACGGTATGAAGACTCAATCATTCCTTGTGCCAACATGACCATCCATTCTGACCACGCACTGCCGTGGCTCAAGCTACGCATTTCTCAAGCTACGCATTTCGATGTCTAGCGGGAAAATAACAGCTGAGCGGTTGTGTTGCAACGTAAGTCTTTGGCTGCCAAGTTTTTCAGACCATGTAGGTTTTTTCCTCTTCCCCTAGGTCCAAGCAGTAGTCAGTCTCTCAAAGCGGGTCAGAGTATCAGGTTTCAAGCTGAGTTACTGCCAGCTGCCATTTGATCAAGATCCTTCAGCTGCGCGGATCTGCAGCATTTTGGTCGTGCAATGCCCTGTCCAGCTGCTGCAACGCTTGGTTTGTGATCTCTGCATCATGCAATCCTCAGGATGCATGGCGGATCCAGCAGAAACCTTGAAGAAGTGCCGGAACTCCAATCCCTCAGAAGGCTGCGCTTGAAGTCATCGTTCTCGAAGTTGCAGAGCTCGGCAGGTGAAGTCCAAGATGCTCTGGCACCATACTGGCAGGCATGGCAGGATCAACCGCAAAAAGCGACGGTGGTTTTGCGGCGACTTGCTGAGGAGAAGCTAGCTTTGGCACTTGTAGTTCTCGAGTGTATGGGGCAAAGCCAAGTCGAAACCAACATCTGGCACTGGAATCCTGTTATCTTCGAAATGTCCAAGACGGATGAATGGCAGCGTAGTTTGGAACTGCTTTTGTTGGCCATGCGCTCTGAAATCCTTCCAGATATTCAGAGTTTCAGCTCAATTTGCAACGCAGCCAGCCGAGCAGAGGCATGGCAACTGGCGATAGATGCTCTATGGGAAATGTCCCGAGTGCAGCTGCAGGTAGACGAACGGATTCATAACATCATCGCAAGCAGCTGCAAATCGCAATGGGTGTTGGCACTGAGTTTGTTGGAGGACATGCCGACTTTGGGCCTGTATCCAGATGCGATCACTTTGAGCACGGCCTGTAGCACTCTAAGTGGTGCCCAGTGGAGCATGGCTCTGAATTTGTTGGAGGCAAGTGGATGCCATTTCGTGGAAGTGGATGTCACGAACTATGGCGCCACCATCGATAAACTGGGGGAAACGAATTGGCTGCGTGTCATGGCATTGCTGTTGGACATGTCACATCGTTTGGTGAAGCTGAATCCACCAGCCTTCAATGCTGCATTGGCTGAGAGCTTTCACTGGTCCAGGACATTGGCCTTGATGGAGCTGAAGGTAGTTCCAAATCAGTTGAGTTTTTCTGCGCTTTTCTCGGCACTTGCCCGAGTTCAGAGATGGAAAGCCTCACTGCATCTCATGGGAGCCCTTGTATGGATCAGGTGGGACGTCAGTGTCATGTGGCTTTGGGTGCAAAGTATGCGATATATATATATATATACACAGTATATCAACGCATTATAGAACCAGATGAATGATGAGAAATCTAAATCTATCTCCATCTCTCTCGCTCTCGCTCCCTCTCTCTCTCTCTATGTTCCTCTCTATCACTCTACATCTCTATCAGTCTCTACCTCTCTCTATTTCTGTATCTCTCTCGTCCTCTCTCTACCTGTCTATCCCTTCTATCCCTTCTATCCCTTCTATCCCTCTCTGTATTCATCCATTCAATCATTCTACCTGCCTACCTATCTAAGCCATCTATCTAAGCCATCTATCTAAGCCATCTATCTAAGCCATCTATCTAATCTAATCTAATCTAATCTTAATCTTAATCTTAATCTTAATCTTAATCTTAATCTAATCTTAATCTAATCTTAATCTAATCTTAATCTAATCTTAATCTAATCTTAATCTAATCTTAATCTAATCTTAATCTAATCTAATCTGATCTAATCTAAATCTAAATCTAATCTAATCTAATCTAATCTAACCTACCTACCTACCTATCTATCATCTATCTACCCAACTATCTATTTGTTTGTCTGACTGTCTGTCTATCAGTCTATCTCTTTACCTGTCTCTTTGTCTGTCTATCTGTCTGCTTGTCTAATCTAATCCAAATCTACATCAAAATCTTGATCTAATCTATCCATTATCCATTATGCATATGCGTGTGTGTGCCTAACAGCTTAGTCATGTGCCCCAATTCTCCCACCCTGCTCGCAGGTTGGGTTTGAACAGCATCATCTACAACAGCTGCCTGGCAGCTACAGGTCCCTGGCGTCATGGCCAGGCGCAGCTGGGTTTGATGCAGCAGATGCAGCTCCGGGTGGATACTGTCACGGTGAACACGCAGCTGACCTGCAACTGGGATGACTGGCCATCTGCTCTTGAACTTTTCCAGCAGATGCAGTGCCAGCATGTGCGCAGGGACCAGTGCCCGGGATGAGAGGTGAAGTTGGATGAAGTTGGGGTTGCACCATCAACCTTTCCATCATCGGTCCCAATGGATTCCACTTTTTGGGTGTGATGAACCTAGGGACCCACTAGCCATCACCAGCCCGGTGACCAAGGTGTTCCTGCAATGCATTGCTCAACCTTTGCGACGTGGCACTCCAGTGGCCCAAGGCTCTCAGCTGGATGAGGCGCTGCCAGCGGCTGGATGAGGTCGCCTCATCGGTCACTTGGTTTCGCATCGGGGAACGCTGGGAGCCGGGAGAAATGCCCTAAGCGTGGCGGATCGATTACCTTGGCCCATCTTGGCCAGAAGTGACTAAGAGAAAGGCACCAAGATCATCAAGGGAAAATTCAGCAGCATAAACAACTCGTCGAGCCGTTTGCGTTTTGAGTCCAAGACCCTGCTGTGAGGCTACGATCAGCGCATGCGACAAGGGGCGGAAGTGGGAAATTGCTCTGGCATTGTTTTCCACTTTGCAATGTTTCTTGCCCTTTGCAACATGTCTCTCACATGGATCACAGGCAAGGAGGTGGCAGCAGTTTCAAGTCATGATGGAACTGGCTTGTGCAAGGTGCTAATTTAATTGCAGGGTCAACTACACTGACATTGCACAGGCATTAAAAGGAACTTCAGGTCCAAAACTTGCAAGGCCCCAACTGATGCCAGCCGCCTTTGAGGTTCGCGTGTGCATCAGAATGAATTCAGTCTTAGCGCCTTGATCAGCGCTAGTCACCTGGCCAAGTCTGAGTCAAACGGAGGTGTTTGGAAATTAGGCGTGCCGCTCAAATCACTTTTTCCCTTTTACACACACACATGAGCATATAATTATACATACATATATGTATACACACACACACATATATATATACGTGTGTGTGTGCGCGCGTGTACGTATGTATGTATGTAATGTAATGTAATGTTATGTTATGCTATGCTATGTTATGTTATGTTATGTTATGCTATGCTATGCTATGCTATGTTATGTTATGTTATGTTATGTTATGTATGTATGTATGTATTTATGTATGTATGTATGTATGTATGTATGTATGTATGTATGTATGTATGTATGTATGTATGTATGTATGTATATTATATAATTTTACATTAGGGTTACCAAGTTCAAGGGGGTTCAGATTTGAAACATTAACCCCGCAAAAAAAAAAACACATTTGTGAAACGTGACACAGCATTGGCCAAAGCCTTTCTCATTTGAATGCAGTTGCAATTAATCATTGGACTTCCTGTAGCCTTTCTAGGCACAAATGACCCCGCGTTCCCATCAAAAGTGCCGTGCACTTGCATCGCTGCCACTGTGGTCATCCCACAGTGGTAGCGGAGCCATGAGCTCTGATCCAGGCGCCGCTGGTGTCACTCCTCCTTTTCAAGGCCGTGAACCTCAGCCACCTACGTGGGATGGAAGCGAGCCTTCCGTGCAGTTTGCCATCTACCAGAAGAACGTGTGTCTCTGGGAGTTTGAGTCCGATTCGGACGAAAAGAAGATTCGGACGAAAAGAAGCGAGGGGTCAAGCTCTTGCGCGGTTTGACGGGTGTTGCCCGAGCTGCAGCTGATAGCATGGAGTTCGAGGAGATAGCATGTGAAAAAGGGGTGTCCAACTTGTTGCTCTGTTTGAAGAAATACTTTGCACCCCATCTTGAAGTTTCTATGCCAAGGGCCTTTGAGAGGGCTATTTATGGACCGTCCCGTAGCCACAAAGAAAGCATCCAAGAATATGTGATCAGGTCTGAACAGGCCTTCCATGCACTTGAGAAGGAAGGTGTGACTCTGCCGAGTGAGGCGTTGGGCTATGTGATGTTCCGACAGGCTGCACTCACCGAGAACCAGGAGATGAAGTTCAGTGCTTGGGCGCAGGGCAAATATGACAAGCCCACAGTGATCTCATGTTTGCGGAAGCTTGACAAGGTTGTGATGGAGTCCAAAAGCAAGGGCTCAGTGGCATACCTTCAAGAGGAGGAAAATGGACAGGACACCTGGGAGAACCAGAGCGGGTTCGATGAGGGTGAAGCATATGTGACTGAGGACTGGGATGACTCCGAAGAGTACATCTACCTGGCTGAGCATGATGCTGAGCGTATCTTCGATGAAGCAGAGATTCAGATGGTCCTTGCAACATACCAGGAAGTCCGGAAGGCGATTCAGAACCGTCAAAAGGGCAGACAGTTCTACAATCAGCCAAAGGGCCAGTCCAAGGGTCGGGGCTCACCATGGTCTGACTACACCCGTGGCAAGAAGAAGGTGCATGTGGAACAACTGAAGCTTAGAACCAGATGTGCGCGATGTGGAGCCATTGGCCATTGGGCCAGAGAGTGCAAGAATCCTGAAGATGCACGTGGGAAAGCTTGGAGCGCTTCGTCTTCTGGCACTTCCTCCAGGCCTCCTTCCACGGTGCCGGCATCTTCTGGTGGTCAGAGCTGGTACGTGTCCACTGATGCAGCCGGAGACTATGACATGCCATGGAGTAACTTTTTGTTTGAGTGTAGGGGTTTTAACACTCTTAGGCCAGAAGTTGATGGGGATGAGACCAAAGTTTTTGCTGATAGAGAATCTGGGGATTCTGAGGATGAGCGGTCTCATGATCTTCTGAAGGGCCATAATTTAGTTTTTGATGATGTTCAGGGTTCGAATAGAGCCACAAGCCCAATGCTGTGTGCAGCACCGAGTCACTGGTTTGTAGGCTTGACAACGAGCCCAATGACAGCCATAGTCGATACCGCAGCTCAAGACGGTTTAGTTGGCGATGTTGCTTTGGGTCGGCTAAAACAGCAGTTGAGTGCGAGAGGTCTTCAAGTGGTTTGGCTTGATAGAGTTTCAAAAGCACATGGAGTTGGAGGTCAGGCAAAGGTGATTGGCATGGCTGCGATCCCACTTGGCTTAGCTGGTTCATCTGGTGTTTTGGAAGTGTCAGTAGTGCAAGGAGACATACCACTTCTTTTGCCCATCAAGTTGCTTCGAAGTTTGCAAGCCACCATAGAGTTGAGCACAAACCTTTTGCACCTCACACGTCTTGGTCGTTCGGTTGCACTTCAAACCTTGCCTAGCGGACATGTTGCGATTGATATTCTTGATTATGGCAAAGATGGATTTTCACTTCCTGAAGAAGCCAAAGAAGCTGGATATTCAGATTGCGATTTTCGACGATGTTCTGGCTCAGATTCCGGTTGTGTCATGCTGACGCACAAGCAATCAGTTTGCGCTCCAGTTCAACATGTCGAGCGGTCGCCTGCAGCTCTTTCGTCATGCCTTCAATCGCGCTGCTCCCGACTTCCAAATGGTCGAGGTGCCGCCAGAAGCAAAGCCTCACGATGCGAAGAAGGCAGTTGCTCATTGGCGTCAGCTGCTCGACAAGGTCTTTCTTTTGCAGACCTTGATTGGACTGGAGGACTCAGTCAACTTGTGGCTGCCGCAGGAATCGACGGAGGCACCGTCTTCGCCTCTGTCTTCAAAGCAATTGGCAGAGGTCATCAAAGACGCAGAGCTCATTGCACCCATGCGAGCTCAAGTGCCCCCTGTGAAGATGAGAGACCAGTGTCCACATGTGGCCGAGAGACTGGCTACCGGAGCCAACCAGCATGCAGGGTGGATTGCCTGTTGGGATTGCCATGCACGCTGGAAGGTGGACAAGAGCCTTGTGGTCCCCAAAGTAAAGAAGGAGAAGCCCAAATCCAAGGCGTCAGCACAGATGCCAGCCCTGCCGCATGTGTCAACTCCGGCGAGTTCAGCAGATCTCTTTCAAGAGGAGATGAGGGCCCGCACCATGGCACATCAGAAGAAGGAGCAGATCTATCAGGAGCATGTGGCGTCCCTGCAGCAGCTGACCACAGCAGGTCAGGACGAGGTGCGCAATTTGCGTGCCGAGTTGGAGATGGTGGCAAAGGAGAAGAAGATTCAAGAGATCATGATGTCGGAATATGGAGCGATGGCCATGGGAGCCCACTATGCCGAGAACCAGAGCTACCACGACTCGGAGATGTTCATCTATGCCGAGAAGCGTCTGGAGAACCAGTTGGAAATCCAGGCCATGACTCAGCTTCAGGGAGAGCTGTCGAACGTCCACGATGCAGACATGAGGGGCTCGGCATCGGCGTCACGAACGGTGCCAAGGGCAGCGAACCAATCTGGGCAGGTGTGGAAGGAGCATGTGAAGGGGTCCCGCGAGAAGACAGCATCCCGCTCTCCATCGCTCAGCAGGAAGCGTGGGTGAGAGTAGTTGGAGAGGGCATCAAGGACAAGGTGGAGTTCTTGAGTCAGACTCCGCACTATGAGGTGGACAAGGTCTATGTGGAAGATCATGGTTGCTTCTATGAGGTTGACAAGGTCGAGGACTTAAAGTATGAGGCTGAGTGCGTGTTGCGTTTGAAAAGAACACCCAGGTCAGTCATGGAGGAGATTTGTCCAGAGATTGAAGAGACCTCTTTGTCAAAGAAGCTGAAGACAAGTCTGAGGAGAGCTTGCAGCGCCTTGGAAAATGACTCATTGGCAGTTGGGGTCAGCGAGATCTACAGCCCTCCGAGGATTACCAAGGAGGCCAAGGCGCAGAAGGTGAGTGTTGGCGGTGCCTATGACTTGCTTACTGGATACAACCTGAAGCACACCAAAGACCTAGACCGAATGTGGCGTGAGCTTTGTGCTGAAGATCCAGAGCTTGTGGTGGCGAGTCCACCATGCACACCGTTTTCACCACTACAAGAATGGAACTTTCCTCACATGTCTCTTGAGGATGCCGTTGTGATGGTTGGAGAAGGTCTTGAACATGTTGCCACTTCATGTGCGGTTGCAAAATGGCAGTACAACCGCGACAAGGTCTTTCTTTTTGAACACCCTCGCCCATCGAGGGCCTGGCATGAAGAATGTCTCCAAGAGCTCATGCATCTTCCAGGGTGTATTGCTGCGTGGTGGATATGTGCGCTTATGGCATGAAGGTTGGGAAAGCCTTGAATCGCAAGCGAACCATGTTCCTCACGAACTCCTACCACATTGCTTGCGAGTTGCAACGTCAATGCGCCAAGGACCATGAACATGAACCACTGGTAGGAGGGAAAGCGGCAGCCGCCGCAATCTATCCACCTGAACTTTGCAGAGCGATCGTCAGAGGCCTCAAACGTCATTTGAGGCGCAGTCAGAAGCAGCAAGAAGGGGTCCCTGCAGAGATGCCGGTGATTTTTGCCACTGGAGTCAAAGACACAGACCTTGATGAGTTTGAAGATTTGCTTCCAGAAGAGGTACAGCAGTTTCGAGAAGATGTGCGTGAGAAAAACAGGGCAGCAGTGGCAGTGACTCAGGAGGACAAGCAGAAGATTGTCAAGATGCATGTCAACCTGGGCCATCCTTCACGAGAGAGTTTTGTCAGGTTTTTGAGGGCAGGTCGCATCCGAGAAGAGGTGGTGCGCTGGGTGATCAAGGAGTTCAAGTGCGAGAAGTGTGAGAGCCAGGTGGTTCCTAAAGCACCGCGGCCAGCAGTGGTGCCAAAGTGTTACAAACCTGGCGTAGCAGTTGGGCTTGATCTCTTTTTCATACCTGACTTGGAAAACAAGAAGTCACTTCCTGTCCTCAACATGGTAGACCTTGGCACAAACTTTCAGATGATAGAGCTTGTAGAAAGCAAGGAGCCGAAGGTTTTGTGGAATGCCTTTTGGCGTACTTGGTGTCGCACTTTTGGGATGCCTCAATACCTCTCTGTGGATGAAGGGCTTGAATTTCGTGGAAACTTTACACAATGGTGTGCAGATTTTGGCACGATCATGTTTCGCGCTGCTGGCAGATCGCCTTGGCAACAAGGGCGAGTGGAGCGGCACGGTGGCCTCATCAAAGAGATGATCACAAAGGCTCGAGAGACAGCCTCTCTTGAGTCCGTTGAGGAGCTGAGATTGTTGCTCAACGAGTGCGAGGGTTCAAAGAACAGGTTTATGAACCGGTCTGGGTACAGTCCGGTGCAACGTCAGTTGGGTCAGTGGCCGAGATTGCCTGGATCGCTTATGAGTGATGAAGTTTTGGATCCGGCCTTACAAACTCAGGACACCACAGATGAGTTTGATCGGCTGTTGACTTTGAGAAAGCTGGCGCAAGAGGCATTCATGAAGCTGTCATGTCAGTGTGCTGCAGACAAAGCCTTGAAGGCGAGGCCCAGATTGCAAAGAGTGTTCAAGGCAGGTGACCTGGTGTATGTGTACAGAGTTCTCAGGCAGAAGAAGAAAGTTCACGGTGCAGCTTACACAGCACGAGGCACCGGTCTTGGGAGAAAGGCAGCCTGGGTTGGCCCGGGTCACGTACTCGCTATGGAGGGCTCTGTGGTTTGGATCAACATGTTTGGAGAACTCTGGAGGGCATCAGTGGAGCAGACCCGCGAAGCCACTACCAATGAACGTTTGGGGGTGGAGATGGTCTCAGAGGAATTTGATGAGATGCAAGAGCGCCTCAAACGCAGCTCACATCGAGCTGGCTACCGCGATGTCACGGCAGATCATCCAGAGGAGGAAGCGCTTGAAGATGAAGTGGAGAAGGAAGGCGCAGAAAGAGGGCGGCCTAGAGTCCGCTTTCAAGAAGGGGATGATGAAGTCTGTAGCCCACCGACACCTTTGCCAGATCCACCGGAGGAGATTCAAAGTCCAGAGCCTCTTTTCGACAGTTCGCCATCAGCATCAGAGGCGGCATCTGTCGGACAGCAGGACGAGGTGAACCAGCAGCGAAGGGTTTCAGAGATGACCGTTCCCGAGCCAGACGGAGAAGCTCCAAGCGATTTGGTTTTTCCAAATCTTCATGATGAGCAGCAAGAGTTGAACAGTCGTGCAAGTGAGGTTGCCCGAAGTAGCATGGTTGACTCAGTCGTGCAGAACAACATCCTAGATGGTTTACCTCCAGCATACGGCAGAGCTACGAGCGCAGTGCATAGCAGATGGAGGAGGAGAACGGAAGATCCGTATTTTGCCGAATTTTTCTTCACTGGTGAGACAGAGGTTTTGGAGCAAGATTTGAAGGAACCGACACAAGACTATTGGGTCTATGATAGCTGTCGTCAAGTCTTACAGCGCCACCATGTTCAGTGGAGGAGAAATCTCTTCAACCCTATGCAGGTGAACGAAAGGCCAGTGCCTCTGAGAGCTTTGAAAAAGAGCAGGAAAACGCAACGTATGACAGCAGAAGGAGTCGCAGAAGTATGCGACGAATGGTCCATGTTTTCAAAGCGCGAGGAGAAGTTTGGCTGGTGGAAGGGCATTACGGAGTTTCCGGTGGATGCGCGCTTTTTGAATGAGGGTCCCAAGCATGCGGGCAAAAAGAGAGGTGAAGGCGAGGTCTTTTCTCATGAGATTCCAGAAGAAGAATGGCCGGAGTGGCGCAAACAGGACTTGGAAGAGTTCAACAAGATTGTGCAAAGTGGTGCCTTACGCATCTTGAGCCCTGAAGAGTCCAAGCAAGTCCGAGAGCAGCTGAAAGCCGAGGGCAAATCTGATCGCATTCTTCCAAGCAGGATGGTACGTCGCTACAAACCAGGCGACTCACCAGGAGCTCCTCGAACAAAGAAATCAAGATTCTGCATTCGAGGAGACAGAGATCCAGATGCGATTTTTCTTTCACGGTTTGCTCCTACTGTGACTACTTCCAACTTGCAGATTCTCTTCCAAGCAGCCGTGAACAAAGGTTTTGGTGGTGTAGTGGGGGACTTGAAGTCAGCATTCACTCAGTCACTTCCTTTGGTGCGTGCAGGAGGGAAACTTTACTGCAAGTCATGTGATGGTTCAATGCCGGGACTTGATCCCGATCAACTGGCGGAGATAGTGCTTGGATGCTATGGCCTTTGCGATGCTCCTATGCACTGGAGGAAGACATTAGTATCCTATCTCACTCAGGAGTTGAAATACCGTCAGTCAGCTTTGGATCCTTGCACTTTTCTACTTCATGGCCCCAGAGAAGGTGATAAAGAATGTAAAGGCGAAGACGATTGGGTATTACATGGCATGGTTGCAGTTGAAATCGATGATCTCCTGATGTTTGGAGACGCCGTCCACGACGAAAAGATGAAAAAGCTGCAGCAGAAATTCACCTTTGGCAAGATTGAGAAGATTGATGAGAAGGGTGTCAACTTCAACGGCAGACGCCTGAAAAGAAAAGGCGACACTCTCTTTGTAGACATGAAGGCCTTTGTGGAAGAGCGTATGGAGACCATTGAGTTAGACAAGGAAAGAGCAAAGCTGAAAAGTGCCCCACTTACCGAGGAGGAAGTCTCTTTGGTGCGACGGGCTTGCGGTTCGCTCAATTGGGCAGGCCGAGAGGGGAGACCAGATGCGAGTGCAGCAGCTTCCATGTTTTCTTCCATCATGAAGGAGATGAAGGTTGGCGATATCGCTGAGTTGAACCAGGTGATCCTACGTCTCAAGGAAACCTCTGATTTGGCTTTGCAGATTCAAGCGATACCAGAAGAGCGCATGAAATGGGGCGTTGTGACTGATGCCTCGTATGCCAATGCGAGGGGTGGCAAGACACAGGGTGGTCACCTACTTCTGGCGTTCGATCAGGAATTGCTGGAAGGAAAGTCAGCGATTTGCAACGTTCTTCATTGGAAGAGTGGGAAGTTGCCTCGAACCGTCAATTCGACATTAGCGGCAGAGACGCAGTCACTGGCGCGAGGAATTGGCGATTTGCTTTGGATGATGGTGATGTATGCCGAGGTGGTGGATCCATGTTTTCAGCTGAGAAATTGGAGGCGACATGTTAACAGTTTGGGTTACACAGCCTTCACGAAGCATGAAGATGAGGATGAAATGATTGGAGCCATTGCAGTAGTCGATGCAAAGTCGCTTTTTGACATCCTGGCAAATGAGACAAATGGCGGAACTGATCGCAGGACGGCTCTTGACGTCCAGATGCTACGCGAAGAGTTGGATGAGTTGCGCGGAAAGATTCGATGGATCGACCATGTCCACATGCCTGCCGACTGTCTGACGAAGAAGCGTGGTAGAGTAGATCAGTTAGTTTCCATGCTGCAAACTGGTAGGTTTGGCATCACAGCTGAGTCTGTGACCTTAGATAGTAGAATGCAAGACAGAGTACAGCATGGTTATAACCGACGTTGATGCTTTGGCCAACAGAATTTTCCAGGAGCTGTGAAACGTGACACAGCATTGGCCAAAGCCTTTCTCATTTGAATGCAGTTGCAATTAATCATTGGACTTCCTGTAGCCTTTCTAGGCACAAATGACCTTACAGGCGAGCCCCGCGTTCCCATCAAAAGTGCCGTGCACTTGCATCGCTGCCACTGTGGTCATCCCACAACATTATATAACATGTTCCAAATGCATCAGGAAACCGAACACTAACCAATGGGCTTGGGGTTTTCCAAGATCAAGAAGCATTTGTCACCTGGCTCGGATGCGAGCAGCTGAGGCGAGGTTCGTTGGCACCGGGCAGTGTCCTTGTGGAACCAATGGTGCTTTAAGGCACATCACTGGGTAAGGGTGTTGAAGGCTACATGAGCAGTGGCCAAAACCTTTGTGTTTGAATCATTTCGATCCAGACTGGAAAACCTTACCTCTTAACCAGACACTTGAACCACTCTGCAATATGTAGGTTTTTCAAAACATATTCCGTGCCAAGTTGTGGGTGCCGTGTGGACCTGAGGACGGGCCCATAGCTGCAAGGAATTCGGCCATACGCGCGGTGGCGAGAAGCTCATGGACAATGGCATGTTGGATGCTGGTTGGAGGGACGAATTCCTCAAGTGCGACATCCTTGCAAGCAGCGATCAATGCCTGCCACTGGGCTTCAAGCTGCACATTCACCACATTCGCATCTAGATCATCTAACTGTCCTCACAAAGTATGTGCATGGCTGATGCTGGTGTGCAGTTGACTGATGCGGCTGGTCTCCCTTTTGCCCACAACATGCTGGCCATCAGGTGATGAGGCGGGCTATACGGCTGGAATCCCTGCGCTCCTGTTTTCCTTGTCAGAAACTCCAACTGACCTGCGGCAGCTTGCGGAGTGGAGAGGCAAAAAGTTGCGAGGCGCCCTAAGATCGAAATGAGGCGGCAAATATTATGGGTCTAATTATATATATATATTAATATATATTATATAATCTACGACCTCTAGGACATGTTTTTTTTCTCCAGAAGATTCATGAACGTTTGCTTTAGGAGCATTGGTCACCTGGTAAATCAGTAGCCCACCTGCTGTTGTGACGCACTCAGTCAGATGTGCCAAAGATGAAAGGGTTTTGTATTGCCGCTGGAAGGTTTTCTGTGGCTCAGGGTGCTGGGGCATAAAGCAACAGAAGCTGCTGGCAGTAAAGAGTGATTTTTTCCCAACACAGAGGGGCTGACTTAAGAAGTATGGAGAGGGCCACTTCAAACCACTCCAACCAAGGGACAGAAGGCCCAAGACCATTTGCCCTGCGCCGTTTCGCTATGGATGCCGCTAAAGGCCAGAAGCTGGCCCTGAGCGTAGGGCAGCAAAGGCCCAGAGACATTCTGCTGTGAGCAAGGCGGATGGTTGGGAGACGCTGCAGCGTCCAGCACCGGCAACATCTCATGGATGGTCCAGAGGGACTGGTGGAATGGACTGCCTCTTCCAGATCCACAGAAGCCCAGTGCACTACATGCCAGGGGCACTTTAGATGTTGGCAGAACAGATAAGTCCAAGTTCGAGGTTGAGATGCCCCTCGGTTTTGGAGGGATATGTGATGAGTAGAAAAATCCATCAGCTGACTGCTCTGAAACAGATTTAATCAGTAGCTACATTCATCAACCCTAAATTCTGATTGGGTTCTCCCTGCTCAGGAAGCGCCAGCGCAAACGGTTGCTGAACGCCTTCCTTTTGCAGGATTGGACCCTGGCCCTAGCTGTGCTGAACCAACTTGCTGCTGGAGACTGTACCTACAACACCTTGGACATCAGCATCTATGACCGAAGCATAGGCGCCTGTCGTTCTGCTGGAAATTGGCAGCTGGCCAACTTCTTCCTCGTCTCCATGCGCTGCCAACGAACATTTGCAGATGCTGTCTGCTGCAGCAACGCCATGAGCACCTGTTCAAAGGAACTGCAGTGGCACGCTGCCACTGCCATGTTGCAGCAGATGTTCATCCAAGCCGTTGTTCCAGATTTAGTGTGTCTTGGTGCTGTGCTAGGTACCTTACAATCAGCGGCAGATCTTCCAGTTTGGACCAATGCATTGGCGATTCTCCAGCAACATCCGGCCACAAGCGGGTCCAACATCTGCTGCAACGCCTGCATCAGCAGCTGCGTGCAGTGGACTATGACCTTGGACCTTCTGCATGGCATGGCAGCTGCAGCTGTGCAAAGGGATGGCATTAGCATTTCCACCACCATCGCCTCTGCTGAAGATCGAAGGCGCTTGGGACTGATTTCATCCTTTGGTAATGCAGGTCATCCATCCCGTTTCAGCCCACCCCACTCATTCGATCTAAGTCGTTTTTTTCCTAAAAAATTGGGAGGGAACTTCCAGGCTTTGCAGCTCTTCACTACTGGTAAAACTCCATGGATCACACTTTTTTTTGGGCGCTCCAGGGTTTGATGGGTGAAATCTTCATTTCCTTGATGTTTTTAGGGCGGCCAGGTATTGGCAGTTGGCCCTTTCTCTCAGCCCATGGCATTTGAGTCCCGACCTGGCGCATGCCACCAATGCCTGCAATGCGCTTTCCAGCACCTCATCTGAGACACGACTTGAGATGAAGGAACCCACTCGCCATGCATATTGACGATAATAGGTCTCATGATATACGCGCAAGTTATTCTATTGTCCCATACAATCTACAATCATAGTTGCCCTCGGTTGACCTGTAGGTAAAATACATTAGCATGCAACATTCAGTTTGTCCATTTTTCAACAAGTCCCATGGCAGATTGGCAGGCAATTGAACACACTGTCAGGTGCCTTGGAAAAGTCTGGGCAGTGGCAGCGATCTCTTCAGATCCTTCTGTCCATGATTCCCCGGCAGATCCGCCCGGACCCCATGACCTGCAACTCAGCAACCCGGCTGAGTGGAGGGGGTTTGCGGAGATGGGGCTTAAATCAATGAGACTCCTATGGAACAGTGCGTCCATGATGAATGAGGCCTGGGGTATTCTAGTGGCTGTATTGAACACTTATCTCCTGCACGGTTCAGCGTTGGTAGTTCATGATCGAACTTGATATTTCGTTGCATCCACCCATCCACCCATCCATCCATCCATCCTTCCATCCTTTCATCCTTTCATCACTTTCATCCTTTCATCCTTCCATCCATCCGTCCATCCATCCATCCATCCATCCATATGCACCCCAAACCGCGACTAAAGCTTCAAACTCCCAGGTCATTAGTGCTTGCGAGAAAGTGGCTGTGTGGGACATGGCCCTTGATCTTTTGCCCCGTGCCCAGCACGACATTTACAGCTTCAGTGCAGTTGCCAGTGCATGTGTCAATGTGGCTGAAGGCAGGGTTATTCTGAAGAAGATAGGGTCTCTGAAGGTAACAAGCCCACTAAGGGCTTTTTTACAATCCATTATTGACGGTGTCATGTTTGGGGTGGGTTCAATCCCTTTGGCTAGAAGGTGGACTTGAAATTCGAGCAGTTGATAGTCCATGGACAGCGTGTGCAGCTTACCGGGCTTACCGGGCTTATTCAACCCTGAGATTTGCTGCGGCAATGCGGATAATGTAGACACCTCACACTGCTGTTGCACATGAATAGTGCCGCCATACCTTGTTGTTCTTGTGGATACTTGGAGGTCGCAAATGGAGGTGCGCCTTGTATGTGGTGAACAGCATGGAACAACATGGCGTCAAAGGCAGCAGCATCACTTTGAGCACCGGAGTGGTGGCACCTATGGTCGCACTCGCCCATGTGCGTGGCATTTCCTGCATTTGCTGTTGCAATGATGGACTGAACCCTGGAGAATTTGTGTTTGGATCATCAATTCAACACGTTTTTAGAGGCCCCAAAGGCAACCGGATGTTGCGCACCTCTGGACTGAGGCATGTGAACTTGGACGATTCTGGCAGGGAGCAGTGGGCATACTGTCCAAGCTTCTCAGCCCAAAATCAGGGACGGGTAGACAGTGGCGGTTTATCACCCTTTTTTTCAATGAAGATATACGAAGAACCACTGGCGTATCCCATTTCTGGACCACCAAACTTAGGACATTGCCGCGCATCTCTCCAGATCTGGTTTTGCAGAATGCTGCCATTCGGGGGGTTGGAAGCGCAGCCAGTTGGCGGAATGCGTTGCAGTTGCTGAGGGGCTCAGGTTTACAGGACGGCGGGCGTGGTTTCAAAGTTCCCCAAACTAGGGCTTCCACTGAAAACAGTCGTTCTGATAAGATCGCGAAAAGGATGAGCTCCCAAAATCCACTGCGACATACCCCAATACGAACTGAAGAGGGGTTTTTGAGTATTATGGGGTTCTTCCTGGCTTCGTAGAAGACCAAAAATGTCCGAAACCATGTAGAGGGTTCATTTTGATGGTTTTGGGGGTAGGTAAGGTCCAGAAAAGAAGCAGATGAGGTCACCAAAGCCAGCAGGACGTAAGATTTCTATGGATTTCTGATGCCATCCCCGCCCTTTTAGGACGCCTTGAGCTTTCAAGGCGCCTTGGAGATGTGCGAGCGTGCGGGGCGTGGGTCGCAGGCACCGGCTCTGCTGGAAGGAGTGGCCCAGCTATCCGAAACACAACTTTTTCGGCGCGCGGAAAAGAGAAGCGCTGATTTTCTGGGAGAGCCAGGAGTTGGACCCAACATTGATGTTGATGCGAGATAGCCAGAGATAGCTGAGACCAGAAAGGTGACTTGGATGGGTGTGGTGATTATATAATACTCGAGGGGAGTTTTGGGCTTTGCATGTTTGCAGACCTAAGTCTAGTGAAACGCTCTCATGATATCTGCGCACCTAGATGGCAGCCGTGCCATCATAGTGCAATTTGTCCAAGTCTCCGTAGGTGCACTGGCAGCCGTTGCAGCAACGAAGGCTCTGCCCAAGCAGGACTGTAATTGGCCATAGTGCAGCGAGAGTTGGACCCCATGCTTTGATTGCTGCAGGAGACGGCAGGGTCAAATGTTTGGGCACCATTGGACCGTATCCATGAGGAGTTGGGGCAACCCAGGTGCCTTTGATGCAGATGGGCCGCAAGTTTTTTTCCGGACATGGTCTAGCGGTCTAGCTCACCTATTTGCCTGATGGCTTCAAACCATTTCGCATACCTATATATATAATATATATGACTTTTCCGTTCTTTTGTATCTCCTCCTTGGATGGTTTGCTTGGATTGCCTATTGTTCTTGGGATGGAGTAAGACCACAACGCATCGAACCTGGACCTCCAACGCCTGGGAGTGTCTTTGGAATCCGCAACTGAGGCAGCCCATGGCTCCTCCAGCGGTTTCAGCTCCAAGACAACCAGACATGTTTGTGGTCCGTAGAGGCCTAAACATTGGAAACTCCGGCTGTTTTTTTTCCAAGTTTGCAGCTGCATGTTGTGTCCATGCGAAACATGACCTGGCTAGATCTCGCAGGGTGAGTCACAGTGAGTCAACCCAATTTTCATCTCATTCTGTCTCGGCCGCAGCCATCTGGTCAGCGGTCCTTAGCCGCACTTATCCTCTCGAGTCGTGAGTCCGTTCGTGGTGCATCATGGGTATCGACATTGAGGCAGGTGGCCGCAAGAAGGTGAAGAAGCGCGAGGTCAAGTCCAAGAATCCCTACCTGCGACTCCTGTGCCAGCTCTACAAGTTCTTGGCACGACGCTCCGAGTCCAAGTTCAACAAGGTCATCTCCAAGCGTCTCAACATGTCTGACCGCAACAGGCCACCACTTTCGTTGTCAAAGCTCATCAAGAACATGGAAAACAAGGATGGCAAGATTGCTGTTGTCGTTGGCAAAGTCACGGATGACAAGCGTGTCTATGAGGTGCCTGAGTTGAAGGTGTGTGCTTTGGGCTTCACTGAGACGGCCCGTTCCCGCATTGTGAAGGCAGGAGGTGAGTGCCTGACATTTGACTCCTTGGCCATGCGCAGCCCTCTCGGCAAGGGCACGGTCTTGCTCCGTGGCCCAGTGAAGGCTCGTGAAGCTGAGCGTCACTTTGGCAGGGCTCCTGGCGTTCCCAACTCCAAGACGGCGCCGTATGTTCGCTCCAAGGGCCGCAAGTTCGAGAAGGCTCGTGGTCGTCGTCGATCTCGTGGCTTCAAGGTCTGAGAGGCTTTGCACCGCAGAAATCAGCAACTCGCAAGACTCGCAAGGAGAGGTCGGCTTGCAAAAAAAAATCCATCCCAAAGCGCTCAAAGCACAATCAGCCGGTGAACTCAAGCACTTCTTCTTACCATCTCATTTTTTGCATTTTTTTTGAGCACTTCGCCCATCGATAGCCTTTTGGGCAGATTGCCAGCCATTTTGCAGCCAGGCACAAAAGCTGCTCAAGCAATGCCAGGCTAAGAGCAGGGAAGGGGCACCTAGACCTAAACCTTTAGAAACCTTTGAATGGGGCAGGGTTAGCACCCCAACATGGTCCATCTCTGCATTTTATGTGTTTTGTCTTTTTGTTTGGGTGGGGGCATTTTTGTGCTTTGATTTCTGTGCAGGTGATGCGCAGAAACTTGCTGCTCCCGTGCAGGCAAAGCAGGCGCAGAATTGGGGTCCCATGAGCCTAGGAATCCTGGGAATTCATCAAGCCCGCTGAACCAAACTGCTGGTGTCAGCTTGGGCTTGCAACAGCATGCGCATGCCTGTAATAATAACTACTAATAACATCTAATAACCTGGTAACCTGGTAGCAACCAGTTTTTATTTTCTTCCTCTTTGGAGGAGTTATGCTTGCATCTTTCTGTTGAAGGCGCATCTTGAGCGGCGCATGCAATGAAACACATCGCAAAGCGCGATTTTTTTACTTGTTTTTTGTGCCTTGCTACTTTGTACTAAATCATGGATTAGATTTAGCATTACATTGGCGCCTGCTTGCTTTCTCCATAGTTGACCTAGTTCCATACTTGATTTGCTTTCTTCCGTGTCGTCTTGTCGTTGTTGTTGTTGTTGTCGTTGTTTCTGCTGCAGCAGTTGTTGTTGTTGTTGTTGTTGTTGTTGCTCTTCCTCTTCTCTTCTCCTCTTATTCTTCTTCATGTCCCTTCTTCTTCATGTCATTTTTTCTTCATTTTTTCTTCATTCTTCTTCGTTCGTTCTTCTTCTTCTTCTTCTTTCTTCTTCTTTCTTCTTCTTTCTTCTTCTTTCTTCTTGTTTTGCCTTTCTTCTTTCTTTTTTTCTTCTTCTTCTTCTTCTTCTTTTTGTTTCTTCTTTTACATTGCTTTCAGGTCTTGGGGCCTCGCCGGGGATGGTAGGCCTCGTCTATAGGCATCATTTGGGCCTGGTTGAGGCCTCGTTTCTTTTTTGCTCTTCCTTATACGTCCATTAAGAGCGAAAAGTGTGCTTTGATTGCCCGCAATGTTTTGTCAATTTTGGCTGGGGAATTTGAAGGAAGAAAACGTATTGTGACTGTGCACACTCAATGTTTCTTGAATTTCGGAATTCATTGGTGCCCGCCCGCTATGAATTGTTACAAAAAACATCAAAAAAACAATGTCCGTGATGTGACTTCAGCTGCGTGACGTGCTTGGCGGTTTCCACAGCGCCTGGTTCAGTCGACGCTATTGAAACATGTTTTGGCGCGGTGTGTGAATATACTAAATGTATCTATATGATTCTTTGTGTAATCTGCATATAATTAGACAGCACGTATTCACAAATTCAATAAACATCGCGAAAACTTATGGCTTCAGGTCTTTCCGGCCAACTCGCAGTCCCGGAAAGTAGCCAAGGCGGCGAAGGCGATGTGGGTCATAAACACATGATATACATTTTTTTGAGATTTTTGTACACTGTACACACACATATGTTGTAGAACCCCCGTTTGGCTTAAGACTGCTTTTACCGTTTTGGTGCAGGAGGGGGGGGGTATTGGTGCACGGCTGGTGCGCGGAAAAGGAAAATAGGGGCAAGGGTGGGTCTGGGAAGGGAAAAATAGGTGCGGGAGTGGGTTCTTGCCAATCTATGGATCCAGTCAGGATTCCGTCGGGACCCAGTCGGGCACCAATTTTTGCATTTTTGGGCACCGCTTTTGGCCAGTCGGGATCCAGTCGGGATCCAGTCGGGATCCAGTCGGGATCCAGTCGGGATCCAGTCGGGATCCAGTCGGGCACCAATGTCGGGAGGCAGCCAAATACATAAAACATAGCATTTTTGCAGTGTTTTTGCATGTTTTTCGGTGATTTTGGCTGCTTCCCGACAGGTCCAAACGTGGTGCCAAAAATTCGAAAATTGGTGCCCGACTGGATCCCGACTGGATCCCGACTGGCTCCCGACTGGCCAAAAGCGGTGCCCAAAAATGCAAAAATTGGTGCCCGATTGGGTCCCGACTGGGTCCCGACTGGGTCCCGACTGGATCCCGACCCGGTTTCTTCAAAAAAACCCCTATTTCCTTAAATTTGAGCCCCTATTTTTGAAATTTTAGCCCCTTGCCGTGCCCCCCCCCCCCCCCTCCGGACCCCCCCCCCACCAGTCTTAAGCCAAACACGGGCTTGGCAACACATATGCATATATTATGCTCATTATACGTTGCACAGCTAATTAATGCTCATGCTAATCATATGTATACTATATACATGTGTAAGTAGAAACGATGTATCCAACTGACCATTTTTGCCCGTAGCCTGTGGCAGACATTTCATCCCACCTTTCTGCCCAGCAGTTGTCTGTCTTCACAACTCTCTTGAAAGGTGAAGGCCAAAAGCACACATGCTCGAGGCCGTGGGCATCATATTCACATGCAAAATGGGATGGTTTCAAGCTGCTGGAGAGCCTGAAGTCAGCCGCCAAACTCATCGCCGGATTTGAGAAGTAGACTGGATTCACTAGATTCACTCCCATGGCGGTGAGAGATTTAGTATGTTCAAGACCCAAAAGGATCAAGGAACAAACAATCATAAACAGATGAATGTGGCTAAAAGAATAATAAACCATCCCCCAAATCACCACAGATAGGTGGTATAAACCATTCCCAATATTGTTTTAACGACATTATAACAGTCTCCTGAAAAACGATGTCTTTTTCAATCGAATCCACGTCAGGTCGGATCGGCAGGCTCTACAGGTCACCTTCAGGACTTTCAGGACACAGCTCCGACACGACCTTCTCACCTGGCCCGGCTATGACCTCAGGGGAAATTCCTGGACTCAGAGGATTTCATGGGAAAATCCATGAACATCATTTCATGAAAGGTAGCTCCAATAGGCTACCTTGAGTTTTACTTTACGAAAGGGGAGGGTGGCCAGCCCTGTTGCCTGATTATTCTGGAGGTTGCTGTTCATTGTAGGAACCCCCCTCCACCCCCGCACGAACCCTAAAAGCAAACTCAAAACATATCAAAACACTCTAATTTACAGGGTTTTGTGGCTTTTGCATGGAACACATATTTCTTGCAACATGATGAAAACTTTGCAAAAACCAGTGTTTTTTGCTAGGTGCTGTCCAAAAAACACTGTAAATACCGTTGTTTTTGCTACCACGGGCAAAAATCTTCGTACATACTGCGAGGCGCCAAAAACATTGATATTTACGTTTTTTTTTTTGGTTCGGCCTTCAAAAAAATTGGCTAAATACAGCTAACCTGACGCCTTTTGGGGCCCTGCGCGCATCACGGCCATCATCAACAACAGTAACGATAGCAAGCATTTGAGCTTGGATTTTTTGTTTCATGTTTTTTTTGAGATGTTGGTGTGGTGACGCATTTTACACAGATATGCTTCTACAAACAAACGACGGTACCCACAGCAGCCTTTACACAGAGCAGCTTTTATGCGCAAATGCTCTTACAGAGAGAGGTTTGTGCACAGAGAAGCATTTACACACAGACGCCTTTACACACAGAGGCTTTCATGCAAAGAAGCTTTTACAAAAAAAAAATACACCGATGCTTTACATTACACAAAGATTCTTTTGCACAGCGCAGCATTTACGCACAGACGCCTTTACACACAGACGCTTGAACACAGACGCTTTCACAGACACAGAAACTTTTACACAGAGAAACCTTTGCACAGAACAGCTTTTACGCAAAGAATTTCCTCTCCCCCCCAAAAACTGGCAAACAGGTATTCGAGCTTGTTTTTTTTTTTCCGTTTCCTGTCGTTTCCCTTCCAGCCAATGCATGCTAATGGATGATACTGGGATATCCACGATATCCACGTATCTTTGTTTGTCCTTTGGATTCATTGTCAGCATTCTATAAATGGCATGACGCCATGCGCAACCCTCTTCTGCAGAAGACGACGTTACGCACAACAGCCTTTACACAGAGCAGCTTTTATCCGCACATGCTCTTACACAGAGAGGTTTGCACAGAGAGAAACTTTAACATACAGACGCCTTTATACACAGAGGCTTTTACGCAAACAGGTTTTGACACACAGAAGCGCGCTCTTTGGCCGAACCTGCCTTGCTGTTTGAACTCCTGTCCGTTTTTTTGCTTCCTCTTCCCGATCACCTACCTTTCGTGTTCCCCTTCCCAAGTATAAATAGATGCTATCCATGGCTATCCCATGTTGTTCTTTTGGTGGACATGAGTGATACGCACATCACCAGAATTGGTTGGTCAGACGCACTTGTGTCTTGTTTTTTTTTTGCTTTGGACTTTTTGGGTATCGAGGAAGAAAGCCTTCCACCACCGACTGTCAAAAAAGCTGGGAGCCAAGAAGTTGGGATTTGGGAAATGGTTCATTGGACGCGGAGGTTCTGCCTGCTCCGAAGAAATAGAGTATACTGTAGATTGATGGACTGATTGGGTTTCGAAAACTGTATTGAGTGCCTTCTATCCATGAAATCCATGGTGGTCTGAGGCGCCACGCAAGACAAAGAAGAGAAAGAAAATTTTGCAGGCGGGTGAGGGCCGGTTGCCCGGGTGCTTGGGTCAGTCACAGTCATGTCCATCACATGTAAACAATGACACTTGTTTGGGGTCTCATTGTATATGCAGTTTTGATTGGGTATGAAATCCATATGCATCCATTCCGGGTCAGCAAGGGAGAATGGTTTGGACTACAGTAAGACCTTTGGCATTGATTTGAAAACGGCACTACCATAGATGATGGCCGGTCAGGGGAGCCGCTTCTATTTTTTTTCCAAGCGTGGGCTGCTGCAAATGTAGCCAGATGGATGATCCTCATTGTCAAGCTCATGTCTGAGGCAAACCCAAACCTGAAGAAGTACAAGACTCCAGCAGCCCCCATGCAGGCTGGAAGATCTTGAAGCCAGTTTCAAATGTGCTTGCCCTAAAGTGGGGAATGGGTCCCAACCGGGATGGTGTGCTACCTCATATGGGCCATTCTGCAAAGCTATGAAGGGTCCCCAGCTTTCGCGGCTTTGCAGGTCATCCCTCAGACGAACCTTATTAGGTGCTGATGGGAGAACTTTGGGCCATTTTGGACCCACATGATTCCACAGTTCCTCCATATCACATGTTTTTGCCACGTGATATCCTTCCAAACCTCTTGTTCTCTCTCTGGAATTTGATCCTACGCTGTGCATGGAGGGACGCAGGACAGCCTTTTTGGTCGAGGCCTCAGAATGTTACCCGGCACTTCTTTTGACGCGAGGTACAAACTCCGGATTCTGATGTCACTGATATTTTTTGATTCCTCCAAACATCAAGACATCCTCCTCAGCTGACTTTTGGATCAACCTAGGACAAACAGAAACGTGCAGCCACAGCATCAGGCATCCTTGCGGCTTGCGGCTGTTTATGTACTGTTTCTTCTGACTTGTGACACCTGACCAGGGCATCATGGAGCCAATGGGCAAATCCAATCCTAGACTCCTCAGCTTCCATCAGATGCAACAGTGGCTCCAAAGTCTTCAGGTGCTCCAGCCCGCTAATCCAGCCCCAGCTGAGCCAGCGGTGCAAGCTGTGCCAGCGTCTCTCGGCACTACTTAGTAAGTTACTTGTCTATGCTTTGACGGTTGGTAAATACACATTCTAATGTCACAATCGTAATCAACTCACATTTATATAATCGCCTTCGGCGTGTTCCGCCGGCCACCATGGAAAGAGCTATCCTGCAAGCCGCGGCCATTGCGCAGGCCAAGCAAAAAACCAGGTTTTGAAATGTTTTGAAAAAGGCCACATACATACACACACACACACATATATATATATAATATGTGCTCATCACTTGTCAGGTGGAATCATAGCTGTGGCCTACAGCTCAGTTCCTTTGGCTCATGAGTGCGGTCCCTTGGGCCTCGGCACTCGAAGCTATTAGAGAGCTCCGCTGGTGGTTTCCCCTAGTCAGTCTAGTTGTTCTCTGTCTGGCATTTTGCTTGGAGCCATATTTATCGGTGCCTTTTGTTTTTGCTGCGGGGCACTTGTGTCAGCTTGCCTGCTGTCCTCCAAGTGCCGCATCTGGATTTGGCATTGTGTGACTTCAGCCTTCGCTATTTGGTACGAAGCTGCCAGTGGAACTCCGCTCTAGGTTCAGGGAATATCACAGTGCCCACTACAGTTTTGGTAGGAAGTTTGGAAGGCGCCGAAGTGCGTCTCCTGGCTCACCTAGTTCGATGTCGTGTTTCAGGTTTCATGGTTTTGCTACCTGCTTTGGAAGAAGTCTTCGCTCTTCTGGAGCCGTTAGTGGATGGCGATGGACACAGTTTGGTGGTTCAAAAGGAAGTAGATGTTCCTCTGGAAGATGCTCGAGGAAGAAGGTTTGGTTCAGGACGGATGGTGTTGGTGGACATGCCCGCCGAGTGTGCGGCTCATTTCGTGCGCACTCCGGCCTTGCGCGGCAACGCCGCTGCCGGTTTGTTGCGGATGATGGCCCAAAACTCAATTGCTCGCCCCTCCATGCGAGGAGCTCACCAAGCGGCAGAATTCTGGATCAGCGAGCTGGCCGCGGACGCAGTTTTGCTGGAGCATTTCACTGCCGAAGAAGGAGAGGCAGCTTCGCCCGTTCAGTCCAATGTCAGCCCAGAAGTTGTTCAGCAGTTGCAGGCGCGCATTGCCCAACTGGAGACGCAGCAAGCGGCGCCCTCTGGTGGCCTAGCTCCAGTGGTAGACCTGGAGCCACGACCTCTTGCGGCCGGAAGGTCGGTGCTGTTTACCCCTGGCACTGTCGCTGGGGCAGTTCCACCAGGAACTTTGGAGCGCCTTCGCTCCTTAGCCGGACCTCCCCCGGTCTGCTTGCCCGCACAGAGGCGCTGACAGAGGAGAATCCTGCCCCTCAGCAAGCCTTCGCTCATGCGGAGGCGGAGGTCGAAGCCGAGGACGAGGTATCTCAGGTCCTCAATGCCTCGTCGGATCCTCTGCACCATCTGTTGGCACTCCAGATGAAGCAAACCGCGGCGTTGATGCAGAAGTTGGCGCCGCCAACCAGAGATCCGGTCACCGCCGCCTTGGGCAGCGAAGGAGGCAGCTCGCGAAGCGGAGTCAAGGGCTGCGTTGCCAGGGATGCCTACCTGCGGACTATGGAAGATGTGAAGGGCACCGGAAGATCCATAGCTTCCAATGCTGCCGTAGATCTGGGCCTCCCGGCCGATCAGGTGAACAGCTGCTTGATGCGAAGCTACGTGGAGAAGCGGATGCCTTTGGGAGATCAACGACAGCTGACCAACTTGGCTCAGTACATGGCCGTGGCTTGGCAGATGAGTTGCGAAGCAAAGAACGAGTTCTCAATGTGCTTGTTTGCACTTGGTTTGATGATGGTGGAGCAGATCGCCTTGGACCAGGGCCGATGCCAATTCGGCTGGCTCCTAGCTGCCATGCCGGACCCCAATTTGCAAACAATCACTATGAACCGCCGTCGCGTAGGGCTGACCCCCTATGCCAAGCTCGCCCCGGCTCCGTGCATAGCTTACCTGAAGGATTTGGACTATCTGGAGGGCAGACTGAAGAACACCAAGTCCGCCGACAAGCCGTCCAAGGACGACCCTGCAGACGAAGACGTTCCAAAAGGTCCTCGCAAGCCGTGGAAGCCAAAGAAAGGCCGAGGCAAAGCGAAGGACGAGACGAGCGACTCTGCAGCCCCGTCATGATGCCGGAACTGAAGTCAGGAGAGACTGAATTTTCCTCGTCGCCTCTTTGTGAAGCTGCTGAATTGGTTGATAGCCCCCGGGGGAATGTTTATAGGCCTAGGAGCTCCAGCCCTGCAGCAGCCCAATCTCACTTTTGTCAGGCCTCGAATGTACAGCCTAAGCTGAATGAAGAAATGCCGCAGTTCAGCCCTTCTGACTCACCCGTAAGTTTTTTAAGTTTTTTGGAACGTTTTGTTTCCAGTGCAGAAGCGGTGCATGTAGGCCTGGGTAGATTCTTCACGCTTTCACTGCAGCCGCACTCCCGCACCGTGCACGGAGCTCCAGCATGCTCCGATTTGTGGCCATGTCCCTTACCAACCTGGGAGTGGACGGGCTCAACACGACTGTCGCCCCGAAGGCGCAAGCTTAGGAAACGTTTGAAGCTTCGTCACTCATTGCTCCAGCTGGTTGTTGCCACCCTCAACTGGGAGACCCTTGGGCACCCCATTAGTCCCCCACCGCAGGCATGCACTGGGTTTGTCTTAACTGAAGAGCAGTGGGCGATGATTAATAGGCTCGAACGGCTTGTTGACCACTTTGTACAGGCGGGTCCGATCTCGTCACAAAGCTTGGGACGCAGTTGTGAAAAATTCAGCAACTTGCCACGTACTTGTCAGGAACTGCCTGGTAACCAGGAAGTGGACCTCGATGAATTAGTTTTTGACCTTGCAAGTAAGTTGGATCCATATTCTTCCAAGCCCACTTCCGTGGATCAGCATAATATGGCCTCCAGTTGTGATCTTAATCCACCTAGTCCTTCCCCTTGTAGTCCCCCGGATGCAGGGCGTTCACTTGGTGAGACGCGTGTGCCAAAGTCTGTTGCGAAGCCTGTCATTTCCAGCAGAATTAAATGGGAACATAGCCCCAATTTTGATCCCACTCCGTACTTGGTTGATCCCATAGTCAAAGATGCGTTTGTTGACCCCGCTAGAGTCAGATTGCCCTCTCACATGTGGCCTGAACAACCTCGGGGTAGAGTGCATTGTTCCAAACAGGAGCTTTTGGGTCTCGCATGCAAATGGGACACTAAGGGGGCTTGTCGTATTTTTCGGTTGGATGAAATTAATTGGGATGAAGCTGTTGGTTTGTTTGCAGTGCCAAAAGATGATCAGTATGATCGGCTGATCCTCAATCCCCAAACTGTGAATAGCCGGATGCAGTCCTTTTCGCATTACACAAAACAACTTGCGCCAGGGTCCATGTTTTCACTCATACACCTCAAACCAGGGTGTAGGCTTCGGATATCCGCAGATGATCTTGCAGAGATGTATTACACTGTCAGGGTTCCAACAGCCAGAGCAAAAAGGAACTGCATTGGTAAGTTGTTTGATGCAGCTGAGTTGAGACATTTGTCTTGTTTTGACTCTTCAAAGCACTATGGACCATGCGTCCTTGCGTTGAGCGCCCTGGCAATGGGCGACAGCTGGGCAGTTGAGATAGCGCAACAAGCGCACTGCAACGTGCTGAGATTCTTAGCCGGCAGCATGCTGGACAGCGAGCGGGTGTGTTACCGCCACCCTTTTCCCTGCAGATCTGATTTCATGGAATGGCTTTCAATTGACGATCATATTGGCATTCAGGTCGTAACCGAGAATCAATTTCGTAACCGGGTCCCCCTGCGTGATACTGCTGTATTTCTAGGAGCTGAAAGGGCTTACCAAACTGTTAAGCTTGTGCAACACCCCAAAAAGAAGCAGCGGGAAGTATCTCAGGGTGTTTTTCTCGGGGCTGAAGTTGATGGGAAAATAGGGTTTGTTTCGGCACCACGCCACCGTATTTCAGTTTTGATGATGTGCGCAGTCCTTGTCGCCAGACGAGGAACAGCCAGCCGCCGGCTTCTTGCGAGTTTGCTCGGCTGCTGGATTCATGTGCTGATGTTTCGTAGAGCTGTTTTGGCGGTGGTCTCTCACGCCTTCACCGACGGCATTGAGCGGCCTGACGGAGCAGGCATATGCCAGTCACCCGAAAGTGAGTCAGTAGTTCAAGAGTTGTGGCGTCACAGTGAACAGCGGGGTTACTATACCCAGTTGCTTACTCCAGCTGCCAGTGTGTTATCATCCTTAGGTGAATCGTTTGAGGAACCCATCCCTTCCATTCAGCCTTCCGACCGGGATGTTGTCCTTAAGATACCTTGTTCACTTTCGGAAGGCATCCTGTTCGACTGCATTGAGTTGTTCCGAAGCGAGGGCAACTGGTCATTGGCTCACGAAGCCGCTGGTTTTCGCGTTCACGATGGCTTTGATGTGGATGGTCGCAGTTTGGTGACTTGTTGGATGATAGCACTTTTCATCAAGCAGCCAGCTTGGCTGCGCGGGGTGTCATTTCAGACTGGCATGCAGGAACACCTTGTAAAACATATGGGATTCTTAGAAAACCGACATTAAGATCAAAGCAGCAACCTGCTGGTTTCAACATGTGGGATCGGTTGACACGTGAGCACACCCTGCTGGCCCTCAGGACCGCCTTCCTGATGAACCTAGTGATGCTGGCTGGTGGTTTCTTCAGCGTAGAACAGCCTGGCTCGTCTGTCATGTTTTACCTGGATGTGTTTCAACGGATGGTGTTTCGTGGATGCATCATAACCCACTTGTGTTTTTGTGCTTATGGTTCCCCTTTCAAAAAGCCATCTAAATGGCTACATAATAAACCTTGGATGCTTGGACTTGAACAATCCTGTAGGTGCGGTTCTTCGGCGGATCATTTTGTAATTGAGGGCACTTTCACTCATGCTTCAGTTGCTGATTTTGCGGCGCGATGCGGCCCCTCTCCGGATGAGGTTTACGGCCGCTGGCCAAAAGTTGGCGAACATGTTTCTGCATTCTCAGCCTCGTACCCGAAGCTGCTGTGCGCTCGAATTGCATCGGGAGCTATTGCTGCTCGTCATGATTCCTCTCCGATTTTGTCCTTTCGCAGAATTGGCATTCGTCCCGATCTGCCTAGAAACCTTTCCAACCTTCCGGCAGCAGATCCCAGACCTTTTCATGAGGATCCTGAATGGATCGAAGAACTTGCGGATTCCTTGCCGTTTAAAGAGTTGCTGAGGTACCGTTTCAAGAAACGAAACCATATAAATGTTCTTGAATGCCGGGTTCATAAAACCCTCCTAAAGCATTGTGCTAAATACCACCCCAATAGCAGAATCCTAAGTTTACTTGATTCCCGTGTCACACTAGGAGCTACTTCAAAAGGCAGGTCCAGTAGCCGGGCTATCTGCAGAGTTTTGCAAGGTTCCTTAGGTTATGTTTTGGGCGGGTGCCTTTGCCCTGGGGGATTTCACATTGCATCCGGTAAGAACAGAAGCGACGCACCGTCGCGTAACGCACCGTCGCGTAACCGTCCTGTGCCTGCACCAACCAAGAAAATTCCAACCTGGCTTTCTGACCTCCGCTCCGGCGGTTTTGATCGATTTGACAGAATCCTGGAGTCTGCAAAGTGCACGAAGCTGGCAGCCAGATGGTTGCGTTTCCTTTTGCTTTTGGCTGGGGATATTGAGCGCAATCCCGGACCTGGTTTTCAACCAAAGCCTCGGACCCCTCGAGGCCAGCTGTCCATGGATGTGGGTTTTGCTACGGCGACGTCCAAGCGCATGCAGCTATGCTTGGATGAGTTTGCCAACTGGTTGTTTGCCGAATTTGCACTGACCTTGCAAAGCATTGGATGGGATTACACAGCTGGTCCGCTCGCCTTGCGAGCTTATGGATTGCACCTTTTTGCTGGAGGTTTTCCTCGGTACAAATTTGTATATACCATTACAGCCATGCAGGACACATTTCCACATTTGCGGCCGTTCTGCCTGGCAGGTTGACAGAAAGTGGCAGCAGTACGAACCGGGCCATTGCAGGCCGGTTCTTTCTGCTCCAATCATGCGAGCAGTTAGCTGCCTATGCCTGATTTGGAAGTGGTACAGATGGTTGGGGATCACCTTAATTGGCTTCCCTGGGATGTTACATCCAGCCGAGTTCATGTCCCTTCTCAGGTCTGACCTTTTACTGCCAGGTGACACTTTGAATGAGACCGCTGCATTCTATGTGCATATCAGGAACCCTAAGACGGCTCGTTTTGCCAGGAAGCGACACTGCAAGATCGACGATCCCTGCGTCCTTGCTTATGTGGCTAAGGTGTTTGGCGCTCTTGCTCCTAATGCATCCTTATTTGCTGGTGGCACGTCGGCTTCTCGACGGCGTTGGGATCACGTCCTCGGCAGACTTGGAATTTCAGTTTCTATGCCTTCTCGCGGGGCCACCCCTGCCGTGTTGCGCGGAAGTGGTGCAACAGCGTTGTACCTTGAAAGTGAGGACCTTAGCTTGATTCAATGGAGGGGCAGATGGGCCCAATTGAAGACAGTTGAGCATTACATCCAAGAGGTAGCTGCTCAATCACTCCTAGCTCAAATGCCGCCCGAAGGTAGTCAAGCTATTTGCAGATGCTGCTGGGCCGCTGTTGCACTCCTTTTTGGTTGACAAGTCAAAGCAATGAAGAGATGGAGGTTGTCATTTTTTCCAGGCATTACATATTCTGGTGTGAGTTGCAGCTGCATTGGACGACTGGTACCTGGAGTGTCGCAACCTCTTTTTCTATTGTCACCGCTGATGTATCAGCGCTTGGGACAACTTGCCACAAGCGGGAAAAGATTGCAGCAGCTGTGTGATGTGCTCATCACTTGTCAGGTGGAATCATAGCTGTGGCCTACAGCTCAGTTCCTTTGGCCCCATAACCCTCCTCGCCCTTGGAGGTTGTCATTTTTTCCAGGCATTACATATTCTGGTGTGAGTTGCAGCTGCATTGGACGACTGGTACCTGGAGTGTCGCAACCTCTTTTTCTATTGTCACCGCTGATGTATCACCGCTTGGGACAACTTGCCACAAGCGGGAAAAGATTGCAGCAGCTGTGTGATATATATATATAATATATAGACAGGTTACATGTGTAAAAGGTCTTCTGCAGAAAAACAACTGGATGGACAGGGGACCTGTATCTCAACTATTGCTGTAGACATAAGAACGGCGGAGCGAACCAATGGAAAACACAGCAAAAAAAACATGGAGATAGCATCAAACATGTTAAAAACCAATTGCGTGTTGGGCGAGATGTGGGCAGAATTGAGCCCAGCACATCCTAACGAAAGATGAAGACGAAAAGTACCGAGAGGACGGCGATGAGAAAAGCGAAGATGGGGGCAGGTTCAAGTTAGACTAGACGCAGCCAAAATCCACGCCAAGGGGAAAGTCTAGACTTAGACAAAGACGATAAAAGACAGGACGTATTCAAAACAACTACGAACAAACTAGATCCACAAGACACACACGCTGGCAGGCCGGCGGATTGTCAACTCGGGGTAGAATTAGTTGCCCCCAGTTTGAGCACTGCAACGAACCATGGCCCTCTGTTCAGCTGAAGCGGCATCACCACAGGTTGATGGGTGGCAGACCCGCTGCTGAGATTTCGCGGTCCAGGCTGTGAAACAACTCTCCTCGCCCGTGAAGACCAACAGTGTTGTGTCACAGGGTAGGAATATGTTAGTTCTCAGTCCTTTACGTACACAGCACACATAGATACACACTGCATGCATATACAGCATACTGTTATATGATGTTACATGTATATATGTATATGATATATATATATATTTATATGCACGTACATTCGCGTGTCTTCCTTGTGTAATGTGTGTGTAGATGGTGATTTGAGTAAGAAGAGCCTATGATCAGCATCCATAAATGAACTTGCAAATGGTGTGGTGGCTTTCTTCTTTTACAGGCGAGCAGGTGCAGTTCGCACTTTCATTTTCATTTCACCTACTTATGCAGCATCACGGCGTGAGACACCGATCAGGTCAGGGTCAGACTTCGCAAGAAAAATGCAGAAAAGCCAGGTGAATGGGAGTGTGTGGATGTTGGCTATTCGTGCCATGGGTCAAGGTTTGCGACATTGCGCGATTTTTAGAACCTAGAGAACCATTATTGCTGGTTTTCAGCATTTGACCTGAATAGTGGTGCCTGCAAAGTTGGACCTCCATGCAGAGCTGTGACGGAAGAATATCAGCCTGAGAAGGGTGGATTTGAAGGGTAGGTTTCTTTTTGAAACGCAGATCGGGTGTGCATCATGGTGGATTTTGCTTCAGTGGAGCTGTACTTGAATGGAGAATTGTGTTCCGACCTGTGGTGAAAGTCTTCGGTGGAAGGGTCGGTGGCATCGGTGGGTATTGAAAGTGGTGACCACTCTTGTCCGAATGAGCATGGAATATTTGCGAAACTGTTCAGTGAAAGCTTGGGGCCAGACTTGAGATGGCCTTTTCTTAGTCGGGCTGGAGTCGGGCTTTGTATTTCTGCATATTTCTGTTGTTTGCCCGAACAATGTATAGTAATCCAGCCGTGCAGTCATTTGCCGAAGGCCCTTTCTCGAAAGTCTCGCTTTGAAGCGGCCTTGAAAGGGGAGGACACGCAGGTCAGGGCTGTGAAATTAGTGGTACAACCAATGCTGCATGCACATCGCATTCATATTCCGATTCTATCAACATTATATACCCAGCATATCACCATTTTAAATACCCAGTCGCCAATATCCAGAGGGTACCCTGTACCCTGTCAATGTTGGGGTTTCGCATGGGTTAGCCCATTTTGCATCATTCCTTCGCCCTTTGAGGAGATTGAGGAGGCACTCGCAGACCTAGAGGGAGAGCCTTCTTATTTCGAAGTCGGCAGCTCAGTAGGCACCCAAAACTTCAAAGGATCAGTTGGAATGTCAAGTATTGAAGTAGCGAAGATTGTTGCATCTCAACCCTGTGCAGGGGTCCCTTCTTTGCGTATTTCCATGCAAAGGATGATGGAGCAGTGAGGGCAAATAATTGCACGCGCTACCAGTTAGCCCACTTAGCCAGTTGGCCTTCTTTTTCTTCTTCTTCTTCTTCTTCTTCACCTTGAGTACAGATGATCCTTACAACATTCCGAAACCCAGCCAAGGGTGTGGCTGAGGCTCACGAAGTGAGTGTTGAGGGGTACGGTGTGAGTGGGATGTAGGATGACGCTTGGGGTTGTCCGTCCAGCGCGGGGCGGGAAAGCGGGAACAGTTGGAGGGTCCGAAAATCCTGTTGTTTTTGGAGGTGTGGCTGAGGAGCTTGGCGACGCGGAAAACACATATTTTAAAGTCAACGTTTGGGTAGTCTTCGGGGCCCAAAGTAGTAGAAGATGCTTCGTGGACGCGCATTTTTTCCATGGTTGCAAGGAAGCTTTTGACACGTGAACCGGGCGAACACGTCATAATTAGAGTCATAACTTGCAACATATTTTGAAAGCAGATGGCGCGGCACACTGTCAATAGAAGTGCCCTAAATGCCCAAAATAAGATTCTTGAGGGGCGCGCGTGCACGGACCGAACAAGAAAAGTCTCAACTTTTTGGAGGAAGAACATCCATTGAGTGAGTGACTCTTGCTTTTGCAAGCGCAAGCTGCAAGAAACAACGTAAATAGAGGCAACTTTTTCTGTCGATCTTTGGTTGGTCTTGGGGGTCAGAAGACATACATGTTTTTATGTTCTGCACCGTTTGGGAAGGTTTTTGATGTGTTTGCAAGGTAGTTGCGAGAATTTTAAGCAGCGGCAATCATCCGAAATTGCGGTGTTTTCTTCATGCCAGGTTGCACACAACACCGTAAATTTCAGTGTTTCTTACAGTTGCAACACCAGCTTCAGCATGTGGTATTTACATGTATTTGGGGCAAAATTAGTGCCTCCAATTTTTGTCCGAACGTTCCGCACAGCATCGTATGATGGGTAAGATATTTTTTCATGCCCTTTTCCTGATGTTTCCTTCGTTTTCCCTTTCTGCAATGGATTGGTTTAAGGGAAAATCTATAGGAAACCATAGGCCATAGGCTTTCCCATGCAATTTCCGGGTTTTCCAGTAAATTTTCCCTTAAACCAATCCATTGATTTCTGAGAGGAACGAAGTCTTTGCTTCGACTGGTGTAGAGAGATGAGCTGATCGCCAGGACAAGGAAAAAGCTGATCTCCGCATCCAGGAACTTGAGGACAGATTTTTCCGGAAGCGATTCCTGGATTCTTTCGGATTCTTTGATTTGGCGTATTTGGTTGGGAGAATAGGCTTGGCTTGGACCCTCCCTACGCATTTTAGCGGTGAGTATGATGGAATCAGGTGACATTTTCCAACCACATGGCCAAGTAGAACGCTGTAAATACGGAAAATCGTATCCATATGTTGGAGGCCAGGAGGAGGACGACGAGGACGATGACGACGACTGATGGGGTTCGGAGCTATTGGATGTTGGGGGGTTGGGCTGATGCAGCGGAGCAGGAGTTCCTTGAGAGGAAGCTGGAGAGAGCGCTTCTTGGCGCAGCACTCTTACGAGCACTCTTAGATATGTATTTTCGAAATGTGTGTATGTGTGTATGTGTGCAGTGTATGTAAGGTATGTAATGTATGTGATGTATGTTATGTATTCGATGTATGGACTGCTACCTTTTGTTTCGTCCTAGCTGGTTCTGTTGCTCATTTTACAATTTTTACACATGTGCCCGTGTTTATATGTACTCAAACTTGCATGTCCCATTGAATTTAATGTATATAGTGTAATGCAACAGTAACGTCATGCGATGTGATGTGATGTAATGTAGCGAAAGTTTGCCTGCAAACTGCATGACAGTGTAGTAAAGGTTTAATTAGGGTGGAGGGTGGGTCCTGCCGGAGTGATGGCCCAAATGCCGAGCTCCCAGGGATCAAAAATTTGATCTCGGTTTGGGCCACCCGCTGTCGGCATGGCACTTCCTCCAGCTGCTACTGTGAGCGCGGTGACCGACGTGGCGGGCTTGATCGATTTGATGGGGATGCAGGACGGGGTCTGGAGAGGCTTTGTCGGTCAGGTGGGCGACCCTGGAACCAACATCGGCCACCTGGCTGCTTTACCAGCACAATTGATTTCAGCGGCCTGCTCCCATGCTACCATGCCTGATGGGAGCGCTTTTGTCCCCATTCATGCCTCTCAGGTGGGGCTAGTTTGGCGGGTGGCAAGGAAACACGTGTTCTTAGCCAATGGCGGTTTGGAGGCAGACTTCCAAGATATCGAACCGTGGGACTTCACTCGGAATCCTGGCCAAGCTGCAGCACCAGCAAGTCCACCCAAGGCATCATCAGTCAAGGAGAACGTTTTGAAGATGGCCAGCCTAGTGGATCAGACGGATGAATCTGAACTGTTGCCGGCTAGCATGGACAAGGTGCAGGAGTGGACGCAGAGGTACATCACGTTGATGAGAGCACCTCCAGAAGAGGAGGAGGAGGCGACAGATGCCCAGCTTG